TGATCTCAGAGTGGTGAGATCAGGCCCATGTCAGGCTCCACTCTCAGCAGAATCTGCTTGAGGTTCTCTCTCTCTCTGTCTCCCTCTGCCTCCACCTCCTGCCCCCACTCATGCTCTCTCTCTCAAATAAATAAATTTAAAAAATATTTTTAAAAAATGGGCAGAGGACCTGAATAGGATTTTTCCAAAGAAGACATACAGATGGTTAATAGGCACAGGAAAAGATGTTCAACATCACTCATCATCAGGGAAATGCAAATCAAAGTTATGATGAGATGAGATACTGCCTCATATGTCAAAATGGTTATTGTAAAAAAAAAAAACAAGAAATATCAAGTATTGGCAGGGAGAAAAGGGAACCCAGGTGCATCATTGGTGGGAATGTAAGTTAGTGAAGTCACTGTGGAAAACTCTATGTTGGAGGTTCCCTCCAAAATTGAAAAAAGAACTGTCATATGACCCAGCAAGTCTACTTCTGCGTATTTATCTGAAGAAAATGCAAACACTAATTTAAAAAGACATATGTACCCCTATGTTTATTACAGCATTTTTTATAGAAGCAAACTAAGTTTTCATTGACAGATGAAAGGATAAGGAAGTGATAAGGAAGTTGTATATATATATATATATATATATATATATATATATATATAACATATATAAGTTATATATATAAGGAAGTTTATATATACATAAAATGGAATATTACTCAGCCATAAAAAGAATGAAATCTTGCCATTTGTGACAACATTGATGGACCTGGTGGGTATTATGCAAAATAAATAACTCAGAGAAAGACAAATATTCATGATTTATGATTTCACTCATATGTGGAGTCTAAAAAACAAAATAAATGAAGAAACAAAACAAAACAGAAACAGGCTCATAGATACAGAGAACAAACTGGACTGGTGGTGGCCAGAGGGGAGGCAGGTGGGGAGATGGGCCAAACAGGTGAAGCATTAAGAGGCACAAAATTCCAGTTATGAAGTAAGTAAGAGGGATATAATGTATAGCACAAAGAATATAGTCAATAATATTGTAGTAACTTTGGGGCTGCTGGCTGGCTCAGTCAGTAGGGCATGTGACTCTTGATCTCAGGGTCATGAGTTTGAACACATTGGGTGTAGAGATTACTTAAAATTATTTATTTATTTAGTTAGTTTTATTTTTAGATTTTATTTATTTGCTCATGAGAGACACAGAGAGAAAGGCAGAGACACAGGCAGAGGGAGAAGCAGGCTCCCTAAGGGGACCCTGATGTGGGACTCAATCGTACTTAAAATTAAAAAAAAAAGTATAATGTAATAACTTTGTATGAGTAACTAGACTTACTGTGGTGAGCATTTTGTAATGTATAAAAATATCAAATCACTATCTTGTATATCAATTATAAATCAATAAAAATAAAATGTTTGAAACTGAAAAAAAAAAAGAGAGAGAGAACTACATAGCATGCTACAGAGATGCATGGCCTCCCACCACCAAGGTGCTCAAGGACTGAGGCCCAGAGAGGGCTGTTGACTTCATAAGATTCAGATTTGTCCCTTGAACCTGGAACTCAGCCAGTCCCTTTTATTTCCAGGGAAAGCCTGGTTAGATCCTCTGAAGTATTGTGCATATTCCAAAAATTGAATTTGAGGTTGAGTTTTCCCCAGCAGCAAGATTTTCATAATCCTAAAATCTGAGTGATGGGTTTATGGAGATTTGTGTTTGAAATTTTCATGCTTAAACGTTTTAGAAAGTCATTTTGGGTCTGTCTCTGGGAAAACTGGACTTGCCAAGCAAAAACCAATGGGGTGCTTTGGTAAGCCTAAGAGATGGGAAGGCGAGGCAGTTGGTTCAGTTTGCTGCTCTGAACTTATGAATCTACAGAGCAGAGTCAGCTAGGTAGGGCCAAGATGAAGCTTCAGATAGAAGCAGTTTGTGTTTGTGACAAAAGTAATCTTTGTACCTATCATGACATATCAAATGGGTTAAATATACTGAATCTGATATAGAGATTTTTTTTCCAGTTTAATGCTTGTATCCCACAAATGTTCAAGGATTTGAAGGAATTTTTACACTATAACTAAAGAATGATGGCAGTTTATTTACTAACTTTATCAAGAAATATCTACTTATCCCAACATCAGCCACAACCACAAAGATGTTACATGTCAGAAACCAACCTAAGTGTGTGACAACTTAAAGTACTGGTAAGAAGCTACCTCTGGATTATAAAATTAACCTAACATTTTAAATTAATAATAAACTCCATTTTAAAAAAAGGTTTTGTTTATTTATTCATGAGACACACACAGAGAGGCAGAGACACAGACAGAGAGAGAAGCAGGCTCCATGCAGGGAGCCCGATGTGGGACTCAATCCCAGGACTCCAGGATCATGCCCTGTGCTGAAGGCAGGCACTCAACTGCTGAGCCACCCGGGCTGCCCTAAACTCCATTGTTGAAGCTACTTTTAGTTGATATGACATATATAGAAATTATGTCTGCAATAATAATTCTCTGGGGTACAAGTGACAGAAACCCAACGTGAATCAACTTAGATAAAAAAAGGTGGTTGATTGGAGGGAGATATGGTTTACACAAAGGACAGAGCTGCTGCAGAAATGAGAGCAGCTCCATGGAATTCAGAATCTGGGCCCAAGGATTTGATACCCCTAACAGGCTCTCTTTGCGTCTCTCTGAGTGACAGCTTCATTTTCTTAGGCTTTTTTTTTAGGTGATAAAGGACATGGTTACAAGGCTGCCCTGGAGTTTCATTTTACAATAATCTGAACATACTTCAACAGAACAATCCCAAGGTAAGACTCACTGGCTCAGCCTGAATCACATGCCCATCCTGGGCCAATCACTGTGGTGAGAGAGATAGGGTAAGATTAGTCCATTCTGGGCTGGGTGCCTAGCCCTGTGGTCAGGTAATCACCAGGAGGGAGAGAGGTGATGGGCAAAGATAATCACCAGCACAATGACCATAATCCTGGCAGTCAGGCAAATGCCCTCAGAAGGCAAAGCAGAGCAGGAATGGTTTTTTTTTTTTTTTTTTTTAGAGAGACAGAACAACTGGGAGGGGCAGAGGAAGGGGGAAGAGGGAGAGAGAATCTCAAGCACTGTGCTGAGTGTGGAGCCCAATGTGGGACTTAATATCACCACCTTGAGATCATGCATGACCTAAGCTGAGACCAAGAGTCTGATGCTTAAACGACTGAGCCACCCAGGTGCCCCGGTTGTGGTTTTTATCATAGCTAAGAGCCCAGGGCCCAAAGGCACAAGGGCCTAGATTCAAATCTGGTGCCATGACCACTCCCCAGCTGTGTGAACTCTGAGTTCTTAACCTTGCTGTACTTCATATTATTTACCTTGTCAAAGACAAAACCTGGACAGGTAAGGAGATTGATTTCATTCAGGTTACAGCAATAGGGAGAGCATCCCAGATCAGACATCAACGTGTACATTACCTCAGGTAAAGCACAACATTGTTAATCTATAAAATGCTGAAAATACCCATCTCATAGATGTGATGTGAGTTAAATAATCTATGTAATCACTTAGCACAGTGCTAGGCACATACAGGGTTGTCATATTCAGCAAATAAAAATACAGGACAATATAATGTTCTGTATTCGCCATACAATAAGGCAATATTTGGGATGTCCTTATATTAAAAACTTATGTGAAATTCAAATTTAAATATTCTAGGGATGCCTGGGTGGCTCAGCAGCTGAGCATCTGCTTTCAGGTCAGGGTATCATCTCAGAGTTCTGGAATCGAGTCCCATGTCGGGCTCCCTGCATGGAGCCTGCTTCTCCCTCTGCCTATGTCTCTGCCTGTCTCTCTCTCTCTGTGCCTCTCATGAATAAATAAAATCTTAAAAAAGAAAAAGTAAAAAAAAAAACACACACACAAATTTAAACGTTCTATATTTTGTCTGGCAACTTTGGGCACACAGTGAGGTCACAAATGTTAACTTATTGGAATCAGGGAGCTTCATTTTCTTTTTTTTTTTTTTCATTTTCAATATATATGTCACAAAGACAGCATTTCTCTTCCTGCTAAATGGCAGGGTTTTTTTGTTTGTTTGTTTTCTTTTTTTGAAGACAATCTCAAGTCCCAGAAGAGTACTGGCAGGGCTGGGAGCTAGGGAGATGGTGGCCACAGACCATCTTAGGGCTTCTTCAGGGTAATGCTCACCTACTTTCTCCATGCCCTCTTCCCTGACTCTGGCCTCGGGTCATCTTTTTGGAAGCACGAGGTGGAAACACAGAGATTGCCACTCAAGAGCCTCGGTCCCTAAGGTACCGCCTCGAGGGAAGGTGTGGTCTCTAACCACCTCCCCGACCTCCCGCTGAGTTGGGGGGAGGACTGGCAAGTGCTCTTTCAGTGCCGTTTGACTTGAGCTCCCAAGCACCGCGTGCAAGGAGAGGGAGGATCTGCATTCCTGAATTATTTTTGAAAACCAAAATCTCGGGTGTTTCGGAGAACGAAATTTCTGTAAAATTCCAGGAAACTGCCTAGCTGCACCAGGGTGGACGTCTGAGGCCTTCGGGCAGATCCTGGGCGACAGCGCTCGTTCTGAGGCAGCCCTGGGTCGCTCTGTAAAATGAGAATAACAAAAAAATTAAAAAAAAAATAAGTAAATAAAAATAACGAACCGAGAATAACAGCAGCTAGGCGTGTTTCCACGACCACCAGCCTGTACGCTGGTCTCTTGCCGCCCTCGGCTCATCCCCAGAGCCGGGCACGGCGCCAGGCGCGTCGTTCGGGGAATGAACGAGTGGGAAGTCGCGGTGAGGAAGCCAGGGTCGCCTCCCCCGCCCAGCTCGCGGCCCGCAGCGGCCACCGAACCGCAAACCGCAGCTTCACTTCCGCGCCCAGGAAGCGCCGCGGCCCCAGCGCCCGGAGCGCCCGCCTTTCCTCCCAGCATGCTCCGCGCCGGCGCGTCCCGCGATTGGCTGCGCCGCCCCCACGTGACGCTGAGCCGGCGGCGGCGGCGGTTGCCGGGGCGACGGCCCGAGAGGTGGCGGCCGAGCGGGTTCGGCGCGGATGCCCGCGGCGGTGCAGCAGGTAAGCGCGGCCGCAGAAGCGGTCCGGTGGCCTCAGAATCCGCAGCTCCGGGCGGGAAGCAGCAGTGGGGGGGGGGGGCCCAGGGCCGCAGGAAAGCCAGCTTGGCAGCCGCCCCCCCACACCCCCCCACACCCCCCCACACCCCCGCGTCTGGTCCGCCGCCCTGGGCCCGAGGCCGCCTCCTGGACCGACGGAGGAGCGGCCCGCGGCTTCCCGCAAGCGGACCCTGATCTGTGCCTCAGTGGGCCAAACGTGAGGGGCCGCGTCTCCCCGCGGGGTGAGCGGGTGGCCTCCGTTACCCGCATCAGCGCCGCCTCCCCAGACTTCATCCCACCTGAGCAAAAGTAGGATGCCAGCCATGCAGGCCCGTCCTCCAGGCAAATCCCATAGCCTTCCCCTTCCCCGCCAGCTCGTCGGTCCTAGAGCCCCTCATGTAGAAACGAAGCCGCCACACTGCAACCCCCAAGAGTGGCTGAAGTTTTCTCTAGTTCCTGCATCAAGTAGTAGAGCAGCGCTTCGCAAACTTGAGTGTGCCTAGAAATCATCCCCTGGGGGGCACCTGGGTGGCTCAGTGCTTGAGCATCTACCTTTGGCCCAGGTCGTGACCCCCGGGGTCCTGGGATCGAATCCCACGTCGGGCTCCCCGCATGGAGCCTGCTTCTCCCTCTGCCTGTGTCTCTGCCTCTCTCTCTCATGAATAAAGAAGTATTATCTTAAAAAAAAAAAAATCAGCCGAGCAGCTTGTTTAAAAGTTTCTGGGCATCATGCCACCCTGGTGTTGAGTAAGATCACGGTGGTTCTAGGAATTTCATTTGCACAAGCATCCCGAGTGATTCCGATTGAGGTGGTGCCCCCATTTGGAGTAATGGTGTGTAGTGGTTAATAGCGGTCTGGATTTAAATTCCGGCTTTTGCCCCTTACTGGCTGGATTATTGGGAGCACCAACGTCTTCTTGAGCCTCAGTTACCTCATCTATAAAAGAATATAAATCATATTCACCTCTCAGGTTTATTGTGAAAATTAAATGTGAAGCATTTTGCACGTTGCCTGGCATACAATAAATTCTTAATAAAGGGGGCAGCCCGAGTGGCTCAGTGGTTTAGGGCCGCCTTCAGCCCAGGGTGTGACCCTGGAGACCTGGGATCGAGTCTCCCGAGTCTCCCGTTGGGCTCCCTGGGTGGAGCCCGCTTCTCCCTCTGCCTGTGTCTCTGCCCCCCGCCCCCATCTCTCATGAATAAATAAATAAATAAAATCTTTAAAAAATCTTAATAGATGAACTTTTATGATATAAAGGTTTAGAGAGAATTCTGATTTCTGAGAATGTCAGAGTAATGGAATACCCAACAGTGGCTCACATTCACTGATAAGGGCAGACTCTTAATCACATGAAGGTCTTGAAGAACTTCTCTGAGGAAGTGATGTTTATTAAGCACCAGGGTTAGCCACGTGAAAAAAAGAGGAGGAAAATGGTGCAAGCAGAGAGAAGAGTATGTGCAAAGGCCCTGAGGTAGGAAGGAGCTTGAGTTCTCAAAAAACAACAAAGTTTTCTTGTTCTAGGTCTTCAGAAATGCTGTTCTTTCTGCTTGGACTTGATCTATTTGTAAATATCTTGGGTGTCTATCATGCCTTCCAGGTGGTTAGTTAAATAAATTTACTTATTTATTTAATTGTATTTATTTTAGAGAGAGAGAGTGCATGAGTAGGGGGTTGCTTGGGGAGGGGAAGGGGGAGAGGGAGAGTCAGAATCTTAAGCACATGCCACACCCAGTGTGGAGCCCGAGGAAGGGCTCAGTTTCACGACCCTCATATCATGACCTGAGCCAAAATCACGTCGGCTTAATCAACTGAGCCACTCAGGTACCCCTGGAGGGTCAAATTTAAATCTACCTCCCTGCGTTTGTAAACAGGGTAATAAGTGTAGCAGTAGAAGTAAATGTAGAGTTCAGAGAGGAGGAGGAGAATTGCCTTGATAGGGAAGGAAGGGAAGGAGTTCGCGGAAGACCTGAAGGAGGTCAGTTCTGGGTTAAGTTAGCACAATGAGTGAAGTTTGTGGTGGGGCGAGTACATCAAACAGAAGTTTTGGGATTTGTGAAAGAGCATGAGGTACAGAGGAATGCTGGGGGTTTACCACTGGTGGGCCTCATGTGTGGAAGGGGTAGGGGCAGCAGTGAGAGGGGCAGGGGTGGTGTGGATCCAGAGAAGGGCTGCAGAGATGGTGGTCCTTAACAGCAGGCGGCCTTTCTCCTTCTGTATCTGGCAGGTCTGCAGGTGCCAGAAGGGTAGGTGTCCTCCCTGCTACTTGCAGATCACTGCCTTCCTTCTTCAAAACTCCCAGCTCCATTGAAGTGCATACCCCAGTCTTGACCACTTGCTGCCCCACCTTGAGGCCGACACCTCCTGGGAGTGCAGTTGTCACCCCGCGAAGGCTGTAGCGCCTGGCTGCCTGGCTTGCTGTCTACCTCTCCACCTCCTCTACTTCATTTTTAGGGATTTCACCATCCTGGCTGCTCGCTCCAGTTTCTTCATCTTTTAGGCATTTTTTTTTGTCCCATTCTCTTTACTCACTCCCACGATCATGAATGCTTTATTACTGGATCACCCCCTAAATCAAGCACCCATTCCACTCTGATCATGCTTTTTATCTTTCAAGCGCCTGTGGATGTGCCTCTGAAGCAGATCTTAGGCCCAGTGCCCTCTTAGGCAGGAGTTTGACCCTGTTGCTTTTTCACTGCCCAACAACCCCCCATGTGCTTCCCCTCCTCTCCCTTTGCTGCTCTATAACTGTTGTACTTGTCTTCTCTTTCCCCTGTCTTCTGGAAAAACCTCACCCTGGCTAGCCTAACTCAGACAGCTGAGAGTGGCTGGAGAGAGACTACAAAATCATGCAGACTGGTTCCGTTTTGGATTTTAGTCCATGAGTCTTAAGCAGACTCTCAATACCAGAAATCCTGCCACTTGTCCGTAGGCACTTTGGTTCCCGCCTTCTCTTCTTTTTCGGCTGTCACATGCTTCTGACTGTCAGCTCATGACATTGTTTCTTGTTTTCCTCATCACTGAGTTGTCTGTTTCTTTGGTCAGTACCCATGTCCTCTGCCCTCCCTCTGTATTTGGGGGGTGGACCATCCCTGCCCTATCTAGGGCCTGGCCCTCCAGTGGGACACTGGATGCGGCAAGGACCTAGCTTCCTTACCCATCTCTCCTCCTCTGCCTCAATTTGTCCTTCTCTAACTGGGTCATTCCCATCACTTTACAAACCTGCTGCTGTACCATCCTCCACCTTAAAAAAACTCCCATCTCTTTCCAGCCACCACTCCCCCTGCTTTCCTCTCCTTTTTGTGACAGATCTCCCTGTCTGTCCTTTGTTACTTCTCTTGCTCTCTTTAGTCCTTTCGAGGCAGGCACCTCTCATCACTGCTCATACCTCTGTGTTGCCAAATCCAGGGCTTCAGTCTTCTGCCTTCCTGTTACTTGACCACAAGTAGTCGCAGTTGATGTGGGGACCACTTTCTTTGGCTTCCAGGTGCTACAGTCTCCTGGTTGTGTCCCACCAACAGGTCACTGCTCTTGCTTTGTCTCTTGCTGGCTGCTTCTCTTCAGTCCCTGAATGGTCCAATGCTCAGGCCCAGGCCTTCTCCTTAGGAGTCCTGTTTGGGATCCTTGTCTCCTGAAATGCCATCTTTATGCTGACAGTTCCCAAATGCTTGCCTCCAGCCTTTCCTCCTGCCTTTCCCTTTACTCTGGACTCACATGCCCCGACCTTCTCAGTACCCAGCTCAGATGCCTCATGGGCCTGGGACACTTGTGACTAGCCCAGCACTCTTGCGCTGGGCTCTCGGATGCACCCCCCCCCCCATTTTTCCCACTTCAGCAAATGGCATCTGTCTCAGCCCTAGCTTCGCCCTTCACTTTTCCCCCTCACATCATCCACCTCTGGTCCATCAGTGGGTCACACCACCTCCCTTTTGCATTTGGAACCCTGACCCTTCACAGAGTTCCTGTTGCTCGTCCGAACTTCCCTCATCACCAGCTTGGGCTTTGCAGTGGCCTCCCTACCACCGTGTCCCCTCAGGCTCCCCCATGAAGCGGACCCTGCTGTTAAGAACTGTAGATCCGAAAAAAAAAAAGAACTGTAGATCCGATGGTGGCAGGCCCCTCCCAGTCCCCTCTCCAGGCTTCCTGTCACACTGAAGCTGCTAGCTCACAAAAGGCCTGTCTGACCTGCTCTGGGCCCTCATAGCCTCCATGCCTGGCTTCCCTCACCACACCTCTGTCCCTCAGCACTCCACCACCTGAGTACTTGCAGCTCCCTCTCCCCCAGACCCAGAAGTGCTCAGGTCCTCATGTCTCTGCCCATGTGGTCTCGAGGCCTTCACCCACGTCATCTAAAGTGACCCTATGCCATTCTTCTCCAAACTGTCCCCTTCCTTGCTTTATTTTCCCTGTATCTGATATTACGTCCATCCAGTGAGTTTTTTTTTTTCCAGTAAGTATTTTTGAGCAACTATAGCATGCCAGGCACTGGCCATGCCAGGGAAATGGAGGTTCCTCCTAAATCCACAGGGAGTACTACTTAATGTAGGGATGTTCAGTCAAGTAGTGGTTAGTGCTGTTGAGAAAAATAATGCTGGACAAAAGACTAGAAGGTGATGGGGCTGACCCCTTAAAAAGGGTAGTCAGGGCAAGTCTCTCTGAGGAGGTGACATTTAAGTGACCTGAATGAGATGAGGGTGTCAGGAGGGTGTCTGCAGTAAGTGCAAAGTCCTCAAGAGAGAGAGGACAGGCATGTGCTGTGGACATCCAGTGAGTGCAGCCACATGGCAGCTGCTGTGGCTCAAGTTAACAGAGCAGAGGAGAAAGTGTGGAAGGGAAGGATCACTTGGTAATAGGATAGAAATTCAAGTGGAGACAGAAGGGATGGAAGACTGTGTCCCTGTACCTTGTGGGAGATGAAGCCACAAATGATAGTGAGACAAAGAGAATGAAAAGGAGGAAATTACTACGTTTAATCTCCCTGACTTGTGCTCAAATAAGTCAATGGACTCTAATGGGCAGATCAAATGTAATGTTACAGAATCATGTTCCTGTAACCATAAGAGATCTGATAATTCTCCACTTTTTGCATGTGAAAGAGGCCCTGAGTTTTAGTGACTTGCCCCAGACCAGGTGCCAGTGAATGGGAAGGTTAGTATTAGTGCTCAGACCTTTTCATTCCTCTGGTGTGATGGGCAGCCAGTGTGGGTGAAGAGCCTGGGAGTGGGGCACCGGGAGTAACTGCTTTAGGCACACCTGGGGACAGAAAAAGTAAAAAGTGCTTTTTAAAAAGGTTTGCGAGGGATCACTGGGTGGCTCAGCGGTTTAGCGCCTGCCTTTGGCCCAGGGCACGATCCTGGAGTCCCAGGATCGAGTCCCACGTCGGGCTCCCTGCATGGAGCCTGCTTCTCCCTCCTCCTGTGTCTCTGCCTCTCTCTCTCTATGTCTATCATGAATAAATTAAAAATAAAAATAAAAAATAAAAAGGTTCGCGATATATTTTTTTAAGATTTTATTTATTTATTCATGAGAGACACAGAGAGAGGGGCAGAGACACAGGCAGAGGGAGAAGCGGGCTCCTGCAGGGAGCCCAACGTGGGACTCCATCCCGGGATCCCAGGACCATGCCCTGGGCCGAAGGCAGGCGCTAAACTGCTGAGCCACCTGGGGATCTCTGGTTCGTGGTATTTTATCTATTTAAATGTTTGGAAATGTATATAGATGTTGTCCATCCATAAATATAACTTTAAAAAACCTGACTGTGGGGCTCCTGGGTGGCTCAGTCAATTAAGCATCCGACTCTAAGTTTTCGGTCGGGTCATGGTCTCAGGGTCATGAGATTGAATGCCCAGTGTGGAGCCTGCTTGAGATTCTCTCTGTCCCCCTACCCTCCCCCACTGCCCTCCCTCCGCCCCTCCCCCCCAGCTTGTGTGCACGCGCTCTCTCTCTAAACAAAAAACAAAAACTGACATAATGCATTCTCTGTTGCATGACTGTATGTATGTTAACACCTGTGTAAATGGACACCACTTCCTCCCCCATTATTGTAAGGGTAAATGATTGTGGTCTTTGGAAAACATTAAAGATTTCTTGCAAAAAAGTAGTATCTCATATCTTTTTGTGAATGGTTATTATTTTTTTACTTGGAGGTTCTGTTCATTTCTATCAGATTAATTTTAATGCATATCCTTCTTTAAGGTAAACGATTGAACCCTATCAAATTCTGTTTTGTTCTAAAATGCACTTTGTGGTCTTGACTGTTTGAATTACGCATAACATGTTATGGCACATTAGAAAACCAAATAAGAAGAATAATCTTTCCCAGTCTCACTACAATCCTCGATTCTCATTGACACCACCTTCTAGCCTTGTTCATATTCATTTTTTTTCATATTCATTTTAAGTAGTTGTCAAGGAAGAAGGAATTAGCCTTCGGACATTAGCCTCCATCTTTCCTAGTGCTGCTGTGATAAATTACCATCAGATAAGTGACCTAAAACAACACAGATTTTTTTTTTTAAGATTTTTATCTATTTATTCATGAGAGACACGGAGAGAGAGGCAGAGACATAGGCAGAGGGAGAACCAGCTCCCTCTGGGGAGCCTGATGCAGGACTTGAGCCCAGGATCCCGGGATCACGCCCTGAGCCAAAGGCAGAAGCTCAACCACTGAGCCACCCAGGTGCCCCAAAACAACACAGATTTATTATCTTATAGTTCTGGAGGTCAGAAGTCCAAAATGGGTCTTTCTGAGCTAAAAATCAAGGTGTTCACAGGGCTTGTTCATTTGGGAAGGCTCCAGTGGAGAATCTGTTCCTTGTCTTTCTGAGCTTCTAGAGGCTGTCTGCATTCATTTCTTGGCTTGGGACCCTTCCTCTACCTTTAGGGCAAGCAGTGCATCCACTCAGATAGTGACCCTCTCGCCTCCTTATAAGGATCCCCGTGATTATGCTGGGTCCACCAGATAATCCTAGATACTCACTCTCCCTATTTTAAGGTCAGCTGATTAGCAACCTTAATTCCACGTGCAACATTAATCTCCTCTTGCCATTCAATGTAACATATTCACAGGTTCTGGGGATTAGGATGGCGGCCATTCAGCCCACCACAGCCACCTTTTTATGATTTCACAGATGGTTGAAATGAAAGCTTTTCTCTTATACTTTTGCCTTGTTCAGATTTCTGCTGTGAGAATTAACAGTAACAGTTCAATATGGGGGATATCCTGGCTCATGAATCAGAATTACTTGGACTTGTGAAAGAGGTATGTTCCACAAAACACAGGTTGCAGAAAAAGAGATCTTGAAAGCTTGTGTTTTAAAATACAACAAATTTTATAGTGCCTTATAACGTGTTTTCTATCCTTATCATATAGCATGATACTTTTTAAAAAATTTTCTTAACTCAATTGAAATCTTAAAGCCCCTTGTAAAAATTTCTTTAAAGAAAATTGTAATAGTAACATATGCTCATGGTAAAGATTCAAACAGTGTGGAAGTATGAAAAGTTCATTTCCCTGTTCCACTCCTGCAGTGACCACCACTAGTGGGTTAATCTGTTTTTCCAGACTTTTTTTCCCATGAATATTTAAAATATATTTACACATCTATAGTTTGTTTTACAAAATGGAACAATGCTGCACACATTGCCAAAACTTGGCTTTTCTCTATCAATAGTATAGTGTGAATATCTTCCTGTGATCTGCCTCATACTCTTCAATGCTTTAGAATTTTCATTGAGTGGCCGTATCTACTTAACTTGTTGCCTGGTGGACATTTAGGTTTCCTACGCCGAAAGCTTTTAAAGGACGGGACCCACAACCTATGCTTGTTTATATTCTCTACGTAGTTTTTAGCACATAGTTGGTGCTAAAGGAACTGCTGCTGCTGTTTTTTAGTCTGTGACTAGACCATTCATGAGGCACTGCGAGCCGTGGCAGTGGAGTGAGGCATCTACCCTGGAAACGCAGCTTTGGAGTTCATTGGTGTGATCGTGAATAAATCCTTAAAGCCATCACTGCAAAGGGTTGGGGACAGGGCCTGGGGACATAGGCCACTCGGAGGAGGTGGAAACCAAAAGATGGGCCTACCACAAACAGAAGGAGGGTGGGAGAGCATGGAGAGCTTAAGTAGAGTGCGTGGTAGGGAAAGCCAGGGAGAGGGTCATCCCGGGACAGGTGGTGAGCATGAGTGCTGTGCTTAAGGATCGCCAATGATGGTACCTGTCTCTTAATGTGGCGTGGCTTCTGTCCTTAAGGACAGGAATTCTTTCCAGTGCCTGTTTCAGCAGCAAATTCCCAGAGACCTAGCAGACCCAAAGCCGGCCTTCTGAGGATCACTTCTGCCTTTTCCAGACTGCTGAAGACATCAGTTTATTTCTATTGATAACGAGTCATGCAACTCACATTTTCTTTCTTTTCTTTTCTTTTTTTTTCCACATTTTCTTTCCTTTTTTTTTTCACATTTTCTTTCTGAAAACAAATTTATTTTCTGTAAATAAGCATTTTCTGTGATTGCCTTTCTAGGCTTTTGGTATGTGTGTCAATTAAGTAAATTATAAGCTGGATCCCAAGTTCTCCTAAAGATGACAGTTCATTAACCCCATTATAAATCGGTGATAACACTGAGCCTGTACAATTACATCAAAGACAGTTGCTTTGTTGATGTTAAAATAGAGAAATGTATATAAATTTATGTTCTTTTTTATAGTACTTAGATTTTGCCGAATTTGAAGACACCTTGAAAACATTTTCAAAAGAATGCAAAATGAAAGGAAAGCCATTATCTAAAACAGCAGGTGGCTCTTTAAAGGACTCCAAATCATTGATCATCCAGGTAACATTTTGCTTTTTTTGATCTCTGTCAATAATCGAGATGTTCCCAACTTGTAAGAAATGCTATTACAGAATATTGGAATTGTTTCTGGCAACTTGGTCAGAGTGACTTTTATTTTATTTGTTTTATTTATTTTTTTAAAAAAGATTTTATTTATTTATTCATGTGCAACACAGAGAGAGAGACAGAGAGAGAGGCAGAGACACAGGCAGAGGGAGAAGCAGGCTCCATGCAGGGAGCCCGACGTGGGACTCGATTCCGGATCTCCAGGATCACACCCTGGGCTACAGGCGGCGCCAAACCGCTGAGCCACCTGGGCTGCCCTTATTTGTTTTATTAATTGATTTATTTTTAAAGTAAGCTCTAAAAAAAAAAAAAGTAAGCTCTATGCCCAATGTGGGGCTAGAACTCACAACTCTGAGATCAAGTCAAGAGTCACATGCTCTACCAACTGTGAGCCAACCAGGCACCCTCCCAGGCCCCCCCCAGAGTGACTTTTAGATACTCAGGTGTTTTTGTATGAATTGGTAATGTCATCCTTTTTTTTTTTTTTTAAGATTTATTTATTTACATTAGAGAGAGGGAGAGTGTGCAAGCAGGGGGAGGGGCAGAGGAAGAGGGAGAGGCAGACTCCCTACTGACCAAGGAGCCTGCCCAGGGGCTCTATCTCACGAGCCTGAGACCATGGCCTGAGTTGAATCAAGAGTCAGATTCAGGGCAGCCCCCGTGGCGCAGAGGTTTAGTGCTGCCTGCAGCCCAGGGTATGATCATGGAGACTCTGGATCGGGTCCCATGTCGGGCTCTCTGTATGCCGCCTGCTTCTCCCTCTGCCTGTGTTTCTGCCTCTCTCTCTCTCTCTCTCTCTCTGTCTCTATGAATAAATAAATAAAATACTAAAAAAAAAGAGAGAGATTCAACCAACTGAACCACCTAGGTGCCCCAGTAATGTCATCTTTAATCTGAGTACCTTCCCTAGGAAATGTGTTGTGACATAGTATCTTTAACATACATGCATTTCTGTTTATTTTACTTATTTTAATTTTTTATTTTATTTATTTATTTTTCAAGATTTTATTTATTTATTTATTTATTTATTTATTTATTTTTAAATATTTTACTTATTTATTTATGAGAGACACAGAGAGAGAGAGCGAGGCAGAGACACAGGCAGAGGGAGAAGCAGGCTCTATGCAGGGAGCTTGACCTGGGACTCCATCTCAGGTCTCTAGGATCAGGCCCTGGACTGAAGGTGGCGCTAAACCACTGAGCCACCCGGGCTGCCCAAGATTTTATTTATTTATTCATGAGAGACACACAGAGAGAGGCAGAGACATAGGCAGAGGGAGAAGTAGACTCCCTGTAGGGAGCCTGATACAGGACTTGATCCTGGGACTCCAGGATCACGACCTGAGCCAAAGGCAGATGCTTAACCAATTGAGCCATCCAGGCGTCCCTATTTTATTTATTTTAAAAATTTTTATTTAAATTCAATTTAGTTAGCATATAGTGTATTATTAGTTTCAAATGTATATACTCTGCATATAACACCCAGGGCTCATTACATCAAGTGCCCTCCTTAAGGTCATTTCTTGGAAAGAAGAAAAAGAGGAAATCATGCAATGCTTAGGAACTGAAAAAAAATGTGATTTCCTTCCTGAGGAGTTTTAGGTTATGAATTCTAGGCACTGGGGACACGGTGGTGAACCAAACCAAAGCTCACCCCTCTAGGCACTTGCATTCTAGTTGGGGGAGGCTGGAGGGGACAGGGAGCTAGAATCTTACTGACAAGGCAGTTTCCAGAAGAGAGAGCCTGAGCAGCTCCAGGAATGCCAGGGGCTGCAGAGGACAGGCATTATACAGTCTTCAACTTTCAGGATTAGAAAGGACCTTAAAAGTCCTCATTCTGTGCATTGTTTGATGCCTCCATCTCATTTGTAACATTCCATGTAAATGACTGACTGAGCTCAACTCCTTCAGTGACAAGAGAGCATACTGCTTCCTGAGGCAGCGTAGTTCAGCTTTGCTTGATTTTGTTATTTTAATAACTTTATTAGTTTCAATATCTCTACTTCCAAGAAAAATTTGACACTTGCTTTGAGAGTCCTATTGATGAGCTGGGGGTCAGGCTGCAGCCACCATCCATTTCTTCCTGGTCCCCAGCTCCCCTGACATGGGGCACCATTGAGTGGAGCACTGTTAGAGTGGCCCTTGGGGCTGCATCTCTGCCCAGTTTCCATCCAGGCCTTGGGCACCTGGACACTGAGCTGCCACTGCATCAGACACAGACTCCTCTGTGGATGCAGCAGTGGGCAGCCTGACAGGGCACCTCCCGACCCCAGAGCAAATTTTTTAGAACATGAAACCAGAATATAGCCATTATTAGACATGGACACAGAGCTGCTCTTAATCAGAGTAATGCTTGTTCTTCAGCATCTCAGCCTTGCTCCTGGGCACTCAGCACCTAGTTTCTCCTTCAAAATGAAGGAGGGCCACCCGCCTTTACCCTGCAAGGTGGAAGAATAGGTGAGCATCTCTTAATTAAAGGTAACATTGAGAGGGATCTAGCAAATTCTCAATAGCTAACTAGCAAAATAGAATCTTCCATGAAACTTCCACATAACCAGGATAAGTTCTGTATCCTGAAACTTCTTTGTGTAGCTGTCACCTCCAGAAGTGGCTGCTGTATACTTTTTGCAGCAGGTTTAACTACATTTCAGCCCCAGCTGAATGTGAGAATACTTAAATGCCTCTTTGGGTCCTTTTTTTTTTTTTTTTTAAATTATGATTTAGGGGCACCTGGATGGCTCAGTCTGTTAAGTACCAACTCCTTTTTTTTTTTTTTTTTTTAAGTACCAACTCCTGATTTCAGTCCAGGTCATGGTTTTGGGGTCGTGGGATCAAGCCCTGTGATGGGCTATGTGCTCAGCATGGAGTCTGCTTGAGATTCTCTCACTCCCTCTCTCTCTATCCCTCCCCTTGCTTGAACTCTCTCTTTCTAAATAAATAAATGAAATCTTTTAAAAAATAGTGATTTAAAAAGCATGTAACAGGGATGCTTCGGTGGCCCAGTCGGTTAAACATCTGTCTTCAGCTCATGTCATGATCTCAGGGTCCTGGGATTGAGTCCTGGAATGGGCTCCCTGCTCAGCAGGGAGCCTGTTTCTCCCTCTCCCTCTGCCACTCCCCCTGCTTGTGTTCTCTCTCTCTCTCTCAAATAAATAAGTAAATAAATAAAATCTTAAAAAAACTAAAAACTAAAAAACACATAACATAAATTTACCATCTTAACTCTATTTAAATGTGCAATTCAGTAGTGCTAAATATATTTATGTTGTTATGAAACAGATCTCCAGAACTTTTTCATCTTGCAAATCTGAAACTATACCCATTCAACAATACTACCCCCGTATCCCCTCAACCCTAGCTCTTTTTTTTTTTAAATTTATTTATTCATGAGAGACACACAGAGAGAGGCAGAGACACAGGGAGAGGGAGAAGCAGGCTCCATGCAGGGAGCCTGATACAGGACTTGATCCTGGGGACTCCGGGATCATGCCCTGAGCCAAAGGCGGCACTAAACCACTAAGCCACCCGGGCTGCCCTCAACCCTAACTCTTAATGATCATCATTCTACCTCTGTTTCTATGAATTTGACTACTTAAGATACTTCATATTAAGTGGGATCATACAGTATTTTTCTTTTTGTGACTGGCTTATTTTATTTAACATAATGTCCTCAAGGTTTATCCATGTTGTTGCATGTGACAGTGTTTCTTTTTAAAGCTGAAGGATATTTCATTATCTGTCTATACCACATTATGTTTATCCATTCCTCCACCAATGGACATTTGAGTTGCTTCCACCTCTTGGCTATTATGAATAGTGCTGCTGTGAATGTAGGTGTACAAATGCCTCTCTGAGATTCTGCTTTCAGTTATTTTGGATATATATTCAGAAGTGTATTACTGGATCATATGGTACTTCTATTTTTAATTTTCTGAGGAAACTTCATACTATTTTCCACAGTGATTGCATTTTACATTTCCTTCAACAATGCACAGGGATTATAAGTTCTCCACATCCTTACCAATACTTGTTGTTTTCTGTTTTGTTTTGTTTTGATAGTAGTCATCCTAATGGATGTGAAGTGATATCTTGTGGCTTGGGTTTGCATTTCTCAGATGTATTCAGGTCTGTTTTTCTATAACTTGAAAGACCTCGAAACTTTCTGATTGCCACAAGCATATGTTTTCTGCTCATTCAATAAGTAGCTGTGCCTACTATGATAGCTCTTCTGAACAAAAATACCTGAAACAGCAGCTTAGCAAAATATCATGTCAGTGGCACTCAACAAATGGAGAATTTCCCTAAGCACAGTTCTGTAAGATGTGTGTGTGTGTGTGTTTATAAGTTATTTTTGATAGTGTGTAAATATTCTAATCTTGGTGACTCTGGCTGGGACCATGGCTTATATTAGAGAAGATCACTAATATTTCTGACTATATGAGTTATAACACTGGATTGCTTTGTATGTCGATATTATTTTAAATGCAGTGACTGTTTTCAGGTACAGAATATGAATCATAAGTTAAGATGACTTTTATTTTTTAATTTTTAATTTTTTTTAAGATTTTATTTATTTATTCATGAGAGACAGAGAGAGAGAGAGGCAGAGACACAGGCAGAGGGAGAAGCAGGCTCCACGCAGGGAGCCTGATGCGGGACTCGATCCCGGGTCTTCAGTATCACACCCTGGACTGAAGGGGGCGCTTAAACCGCTGAGCCACCGGGGCTGCCCTAATTTTTAATTTTTAAAAAAGATTTTATTTATTCATGAGAGACACACACAGAGAGAGAGAGAGAGAGAGAGAGAGAGAGAGAGAGATGCAGAGACACAGGCAGAGGGAGAAGCAGGCTCCATGCAGGGAGCCTGACGTGGGACTCGATCCTGGGTCTCCAGGATCATGCCCTGGGCTGCAGGCGGCACTAAAACGCTGAGCCACCCGGGCTGCCCGTAGGATGGCTTTTAGATGTGATTATAATGATACAGGGAAGGTTTGTGGTCCCAGGTCTACAAATGAAGAATTCAGAACAAACTCTACATGGTCCATTTGAACATGTGGACTTTGCCAAGCCACATAAGAAAATACCTTGACTCAAAGCCTTAAAATACTTAAGACTCTGCACTCAACTCACTCACACAAAGAGCTCTTGGTCACTAGCCCGCTCTGGGGAGAGTGGCTTACAGAGATGGCAGGGTTTGCTTAGAGTTCAGCAGAGGTGAGCCTGGAGTGGGGTCAGGCCCCAGCAGCACTGCCACTTGGGAAGATCCCCTTCACCTTTGTATCAGTCAGTAATGGGGTTTCTCCTAGTTCTTCCAGAGGTGGCAGTGCTTGACTGTTTGTACTTTATTTGGGCACCTCCCTTCCCATGGTTGTTGACAGGCTGTCCTTTACTTCTTCCAAGGCTGAGGAGCCAAGACCTTCCAGAGTAGGGTAATATTTAGTTGTTCTTGGTCACATGGTAGAAAACATTTCTGTAATAATCACAGTTAAAGATTCTTGACTCCGAGATCATGACCCAAGCCAAAACCAAGAGTTGGTCGACAACTGACTGTGCCACCCAGGCACCTTGAAGTTTTTTTTTTTTTTTTAAGATTTTATGTATTTATTCATGAGAGACACAGAGAGAGAGAGAGAGAGAGAGAGAGAGGCAGAGACAGAGGCAGAGGAGGAAGCAGTCTCCATACAGGAAGCCTGATGTGGGACTTGATTCTGGCACCCCGGAATCACGACCTGAGTTGAAGGCAGACGCTCAGCTGCTGAGCCACCCAGGCGTTCCCCTGAAGATTCTTTATTAATGAATGTCTTTAAGCATAACCAGACCCTACAACTTTGTGCAGTACGTTCCCATTTTATATTAACAAGCTTATTTCTAAATAACCTAAAAAAAGGAGGAAAACTATAAAGACATCTAAAAAAAGTATAAAAGAACAATGACCAATTAGTGGTGATGCATAATGGCGTTGTGTGTGTGTGTGGGGGGGTGTGGATTGGAGGTTCTACAGAAAATCCAGTCCAAGAAAAGCTTTTGCAAATGAGCACAAAATGTAGGTCTTAGTATCTTAAGCATATGATACAGTAAGGAAAATAATATGGATCACATGGTTTGGGATTGTTAGGATGTTCTGTCCATTTTGCCTTAACACCTAAATCTGCAAAATTTTGCAGCAGGTATTTTCAGTGGGTCACTTATCATTCTTGTTGTGAGGCTGGTGGCATGACAGTTGCCCCCTCCTTTCCCCAGAATTCTCTATTTCAGCGTTTGCATAGTAGGTTTGGAAACTGCCCTGCATAGTCAGGCTCACAGAGCCCTGAGGTTGAAAGAGTACCAGGCCTTTGCTCCTTCCTCCATCTCCAGCCTATGTGTCCCTGTTTCTGTAATTGGTGGACGTAGACAGTCCTGTATGGGTGTGTTGGGATCTGTAGTCATTTCCCAAGTGCCATCTTGATGGGACATGCTTTAACGACAGGGAGCAAATGGCAGCACCCACCACACAGGCCTGGGATTGACTGGAGCTGTCACTCCAGGACTCAGCTGGGCGTCAGCAAGCTTCTGTATGTGAGGTGAGTTCTGCTGAGGCCTGGCTGTGCTTTGGGTCTGGCCTGGTTTTTATCAATCACAGGCTGTGGATCAGCAAGTCTACAGGGGGACTTCAGTGTGTTTATGTGCCTTTGAGTTTTCTGGCCTCAAGTCCTTGGCCTATGCCTGGCGCCTTCCACTTCAGAGACTTAAATGTTTTATCTCTTCCTTGTAAAGCCAAGACTTGTTTTTGCCACCAGGGTTGGTTTGTGGGAATCTCAGCTAAGATACTTGAAGCCATTGAGCTCTATGTTTTTCTGTCTCTTGTCTTGAGAAGGAGACTGAGTTTTCATCACACCGGAACCATGCATGGAGTGTGTGGGGTATGCAGGGTATTGGGTAGACTGTGAGAATTTGGGGTGTTGGGAGAACGGGCATCTATTATGACTGGGGCTCAGGCTGATATCTTCTCCACAGAAGAACCTCGTTACTGCATTTGACAATGGAGACCAGAAGGTGTTCTTCAGTTTGTGGGAGGAGCACGTTCCCAGTTCCATCCGAGATCATGACTCCCTTGCCCAGAAGTTGGAATTCTATCTTCATATCCATTTTGCCATCTATCTTCTGAAACACTCCATAGGGAGACCTGTAGGTTCCCTTTGTGATTTGGGTGGGTCTGAGTGGTGTGTTCAAGGGGAATGTTAGCTTTGTTTTGTAAATGAGCATTAATTTAGTTTTGTGGCCATTTTATCATATTGTATCCAAGGAGTCTTGTGTTCTGTGCATGATTTTCTGTCTCATTCCCAGAAGTTTCTCATTTATATGGAAAGTTAATAATTTCTGTACTGAAAGCTATATGGTTTTCCTCAATGCCTCAAATTTTTGAAAACCCAGCAAAATAGTTTCCTTATTTGGCAACTTAACATAAATACATGTACATGTATTAACATAAATACATGTCTAAGAGAACACCCACTGAGACCACATATTAGTCTGTTAGAAGAGAAGTGTAGGCTTAAGCTGTGGAGATGTGCCTGTTTGTGAAGGTCTGCCTGACGGTGGGCTGAACGTAGCCTCTGCAGTCCTTCCATAGAGGTGCAGCAGGCACGGCTGAGAGCACCTGCTGCTGTGGCCGCTGAGCCTCCAGGTGCAGAGCAAATGAGAGAAAGGAACAGGGCCATGTTGACATTTGACCACGTACATTTCTTTAGTGGCTTCTACTGGCATTAGCTACTGCCCCCAAGCACCTGTTTTCACTTAGTAAGATGTTGGGGGGTGGTGCCTCAGAATAGGTCAATGGTGGACAGAGCAGCTTCACAGTATGTCATGGTAGCCATTCCTGTTCTTCAAGACAGCGGTCATGAGGAGTGAGATCATGGGGGATTTTCACTTTCTTTTTATTTATTTCTGTTTTCTAATTATTTTATTTTGATGTAAGATTAAAAAAAGTCAATGAACATCATGTATTTTTTTAAGCCTGGTGTCCAGAAGAGGGCTTCACATTGTAGACGGGGTGAGATGTGTTGATTAGAAGAGCATACATACACAGGGTGCCCATATCTGGTGCGGCCAGGTAGTCAAGGAGGGAGAGTGCCTGATTCCAGGCTGAGCAGCTCAAGTCCTCCGACCTCACTGAGGCACAGGAGGCAATCAAAACCTGGGAGGGGTTGAGTGGCCTCAGATCACACGTGGAACCAGTGAAGCCTGCAAGATCAATCCTTAGTTAGCTTTGCAAAGGAAAGGAGGAATGCTATGGAAGCTTCTGTTTCAAAAAACTATAAAGGTCCACCTGTTCACCTGTAGACACTTCTCCTGAGGGAGTCCTGGGAATGCAGGCTCATGTTCATGATCTGTGCCAAGTGGAAACAATGTACATGTCTAGTACTGGGGGAATTGGTTAAGTGAATTGTGATAGACCCACAAGGTGAGATTTTGTCCTGCCAGTAGAAATGATGTTTATGAAGAACTTTAAGGACACGAGGCCATGCCAATTATAAAGTAAAAGGACACAGATCGAACAATTTATCTAGTTCTCTGAAATTCCTGACAAAATTTGGGGTGAAATCAGGGGCGGTGTTAGAATGACTGGAGATAGCGCGCTTGCTCAGCCAGGTGGGGAGGATACCAGGCACGTGGTTGGAACTGAAGGAGCCTCGGAGAGAGGGTGGATAGACGGGGGACTGGGCATCCAGCAGGAGACCCCAAGTGAGCATCTTTCCTTCTTTGCAGGACAAAGAGGAACTGGATGAGAGGATTTCTTATTTCAGAACCTACCTGGAGACCAAAGGGGCAGCGTTGAGCCAGACCACAGAGTTTCTCCCTTTCTATGCTCTGCCTTTTGTTCCCAATCCCATGGTACACCCCTCATTTAAAGAGCTCTTCCAGGTGAGTGATGGCCTCTGAATCTTGGATTGGACCCTGGGTGGCATTGCGGTTTCACCTTGTCAATGCTAGTCGTTTCTGAACGATGCTGTGAAAAAAATGAAAAATTGCTTCTGTTTTCAGATAATTTTCTTTGACTAACTTTGCTTGTGCCATAAAATATGATTTTTTGGGGTTGTATTAAGACTTGTTAATCCAGGGGCACCTGGGTGGCTCAGTGGTTGAGCATCTATCTTTGGCTCAGGTCATGATCCTGGGGTCCTGGGATCAAATCCCGCATCAGGCTCCCTGCATGGAGCCTGCTTCTCCCTCTCTCTGTGTCTCTGCCTCTCTCTCTCTCTGTCTCTCATGAATAAATAAATAAAGTCTTTAAAAAAAAAAAAGACTTCTTAATCCAGACTAATGTAACTATTTTTAAATGTCCTTCTTTTTTTTTTATAAATTTTTTTTAAATTTTTATTTATTTATGATAGTCACAGAGAGAGAGAGAGAGAGAGGCGCAGAGACACAGGCAGAGGGAGAAGCAGGCTCCATGCACCGGGAGCCCGACGTGGGATTCGATCCCGGGTCTCCAGGATCGCGCCCTGGGCCAAAGGCAGGCGCCAAACCGCTGCGCCACCCAGGGATCCCTAAATGTCCTTACTTCTTAAAACCATTCCATGCATACTTTTTCATTATCGAAAGGATAATTTTTATTCAGTTTCATTGAAAATTGGTAGCCTGGGGGCACCTGGGTGGCTCAGTTGGTTATAGGCATCTACCTTTGGCTCAGGTCATGATCTTGGGGTCCTAGGATCAAGCCTGCGTTGGGTTCCCTGATCAGCAGGAAGCCTTGCTTCTCCCTCTGCCTCCCACTCATGTGCGCTTTCTCTCTCTCTCTCTCTCAAATAAATAAATAAATAAATAAAATCTTAAAAACAAAAAAAAAGGGAAGAAAATTGGTAGCCTGAAAAAAAACTAGATTATTTTACAGACTTGCTGGCCATGCACATTTTAATTTGTATTCAGAATCTCACTTGGCATATGTCTGATGATCTGGTTGTGTACTATTATTACTTCCTTCAGACTGCTTGCCTGGAGCTCCTTTAATTGTTACATTTCACCATCATTGACATTTCAGCATACTATTTGTTATCAGTGTTTATCCATTCTGGTAATTTTTGTGGACTTAATAAAATTAAGATGTCCCCTGAGAAGTTTATGAAAATGTGTTTAAGAGACTGAAGTAATTGTGATGCAGTGGCTTTTTCTAAAGAAAGATCTCACACTGTTTCCGAGCATGTTTGGAGAGTACTCCTGTGCCACTGAACAACAGATGCACTTCTCTTTCCAGACCCGGTATATCTCTGTCTCCTATTCCATTATAATTTAGTCAAACACCTGTCAGCACTCCTGAATAGTAGCCACTAAATTGAAGTCCAGGGAGTTGGCTGATTTCATCACAGCAGGTTTGTTGTAGATTAGCCTAAGTTGAATTCTTTTTTTTTTTTTTTTTGAAGATTTTATTTATTTATTCATGAGAGACACAGAGAGAGAGAGAGGCAGAGACACAGGCAGAGGGAGAAGCAGGCTCCATGCAGGGAGCCCGACATGAGACTCGATCCTGGGTCTCCAGGATCATGCCCTGGGCCAAAGGCAGACGCTCAACCACTGAGCCACCCAGGTGTCCCGCCTAAGTTGAATTCTATGCTTGATTTTTTTTGTCCATCCAAATTTAGTTTTGCTCCCTTCCTCTCTGAGAAGGTTGAAAATACATCATGGTTAAGGAAGGCGGTGAAACTTGAAAAGAAATGTTGGATTTTCTCATTGTGATGGCTTCTGTTTATGAAGATGATGGCACAGCAGTGTGGCTGTAGCTGAGGTCAGGTGGGGTGCAGGTGCCAGGGACGGTCCGACCCAGGTTGCAGCAGGCGACTCGCCTGCTCTGGCTTGGCATTCTAAGTCTGCAGAGCTCAGTATTCATGGGGAGTCCTTTTTCCCCCTTTTTGCTACTCTACATTATGTCCTTTCAGTGGACATGATAGATACTTGAGTATGTGTGCAAAATAAGATCTAAAGTTCGTGTCTTCCTCCTCTTCCTGACCATCACAAGGACCATAGAATGCATTTACCTCCTTCATCCCCTTCCCAGCTCACCTGCTGTTCTTGTCAAGTATTCAGTTATATACTTTAACCCCACATGTTACAGATTCTTACTATTTTATGCAATCTGTGTATGTATGGATTTACTGTTCTATGTACCCATAACTGTGCTTGCTGTTCTATCTTGCATTAAGGACCTTCCATCTGTAATCATTTTCTCCTCTGCTTCACATACATCCTTTAGAGCCTCCTGTAGCTGAAGATCTCTTCTTTCTGTCCTCACCCATCTGAAATGTGTCTGTCGCTTTCTCAGACGGGTCCAAAGTGATAGATTTATACCCATTTTCTTTCTTTCTTTCTTTCTTTCTTTCTTTCTTTCTTTCTTTCTCTCTCTCTCTTTCTTTTCTTTCTTTCTTTCTTTCTTTCTTTCTTTCTTTCTCTTTCCTTCTTTCTTTTTAAAGATTTATTTATTTATTTTGAGAGTGCGATCGAGCATACATGCATGTGTGGGAAGGGGCAGAGGACAGGGAGAGAGAGAGCATCTCAAGGAGACTCCATTTTGAGCTCGGACCCCACAATATGGGCTGGATCTCACAACCCTGAGATCCTGCCCTGAGCTGAAACCAAGTTTTGAACGCTCAACCAACTGAGCTGTCCAGGCGTCCCAGACAGCTATTTTGTTTTATGACATTGAAGGTGATGTTATCACCTTACTCCCATTGTTATTGTTGGAGGTCAGCCATGAGTCTAATCACTGTTCCCATGTAGGTGATCTGTCTTGTTTCTCTGACCTTTGAGGTTGTGTCATTTCACTCTGGTGTGTCTAGGGATAGATTTCTTTCCTTTTCTTTTTAAAAAATATTTGATTTATTTATTCATGAGCGACACAGAGAGGCAGAGACATAGACAGAGGGAGAAGCAGCTCCCTGCAGGGAGCCTGATAAGGACTCAATCCAGGACCCTGGGATCACAACCTGAGTCAAAGGCAGATGTTCAACCACTGAGCCACCCAGGTGCCCCTAGATTTCTGTTTTTACTAGAGATTTGTTGGGCTTCTGACTGTGACTTCTTGTGTCTTTCAACAACTCTGGAAGATTCTGTTTTCTCTTCATATATTGCCTCTCCCCCATCCTCTTTATTATCTTTTTCTAAATGTCTGATTAAATCTACATTTAATCTACATATCTGATTAAATCTACATTAGATTTGTTTCTTCTATCCTGTCCTTTTTTGTTTTAATTTAAAAAATTTGTGATAAAATAAAATTTACCATCTTAACCATCATGAACTATACAGTTCGGTAGAGTCAGGAATGTTCACAGTGTTGTGCCCTCCATGTCTCTTGCCATCCTGTATTTTCCATCTTGTGATCTCTGCCTCAGCTGTATTCTGAGTGATTTATTCATACTTATTTTCTAGTTCTTAAGTTCACCTGTCAAACTATGTCTAATCTGTTCTTTAATCTCCTCATTGAATTTATAATTTCATTTATTAGCTTTTGTTAAGGGAAGTTCTTTTTGTTTTTTCATTCAAATTTACTGGGTCAGGGGGATCCCTGGGTGGCTCAGTGGTTTAGCGCTGCCTTCAGCCCAGGGCATGACCTGGAGACCCGGGATCGAGTCCCATGTTGGGCTCCCTGCATGGAGCCTGCTTTTCCCTCTGGCTGTGTCTCTGCCTCTCTCTCTCTCTCTGTGTGTCCCTCATGAATAAAGAAATAAAATCTTTAAAAAAAAAAAAAACAAAAACAAATTTACTGGGTCATTTTTATAGTCTCTTATTCTTTGCTCATATTTTCAAGCCCCTTTTAAAATTTCTTTACCATATTAAACATTTGTGTTATATTCTTTATCTATTAATTTTAATATCAGGGCCTTTGTAGATTTGATCCTGCTGTGTTTTACTTCTGCTGGTTCTCATTCACGGTGCCTTATATCTTTTTTTTAATTTGTTACTTTGAATTTTGACAATGAGTTTATTTTACTTGGGATTTGTGAGAGTTTTTTGAGGCCCGAGTGGAGTTTGGTTCTTTCAGAGAAGATCTGCATTTGCATCTCTCTAGGGCATTACCAGCCCACGATAATTTTAAATTAAATATCTTTGCTCAAGGCTTTGGTAAGCACACAGATAGTGTCAGTTTCAGCTACAGTCTTTAATGGGACTAGTTTGGGTTATGAAGTTTTTTTTTTATGATTTTATTTATTTATTCATGAGACAGAGAGAGGCAGAGACACAGGCAGAGGGAGAAGCAGGCTCCATGCAGGGAGCCCAACGTGAGACTCGATCCCGGGACTCCAGTATCACGCCTTGGACTGAAGGCAGGTGCTAAATACACTGAGCCAGCCTGGGATCCCCGGGTTATGAAGGTTTTTTTTGTTTTTGTTTTAATTTTTATTTATTTATGATAGTCACACACAGAGAGAGAGAGGCAGAGACACAGGCAGAGGGAGAAGTAGGCTCCATGTACCAGGAGCCCGACGTGGGATTCGATCCCGGGTCTCCAGGATCGCGCCCTGGGCCAAAGGCAGGCACTAAACTGCTGAGCCACCCAGGGATCCCAGTTATGAAGTTTTAAATGAGGTTTTTCCTCTCCTCTACCTAATGTTAAGGTCAAGACAGGTCAATTTCCTTGCTGTCACCTTCTAGGCAGTGAATTGGTTTGTCTTTGACTTTTTCCTGATAGTATAGCCCTTAGGGCTCCCAGTTCTGTGCTAAGGTCTCCTATTAGACTGTTCACTGAGTAGATCCTGTTGCCTTCTGTCGTCTGCACCACAACAACTCTTAGGGCTTAGGAGGTGTGAGGTCTTCTAGTCTCAACTTGTCCTTAGAGGAAAAACTGTCATTTTTAGTCTCTGCTTTTCCTTTCTTGGGGATGTGTTTTAAAAGATGGTTAACTGATCCAGCTTTTTTAGTTGTTTTCATTGCTCTTTCAGGTTATCTTTTCTGCTGAGGTGTCAGGAAAGGAAATTTCTTTGTAGAGATAGTAATGAGCTCTTTTCAGCAAAGTGTTTGTCAGTGAATATCTTTTCGCAGAAATGTTTAGATACTTCTCTAGTTGATTACTTCCAGAAAAACTTTTGGGTTCTTAGGTGCCAAGGACCAAGCCAAGCTTAATTAGTGAAAATTGAAAGAAGGAATTCTCGTGGGCTCTGCAAGAGAGAGAGAGGAGGCAGGGGAGTCAAGCATGGAGCTCTCCCCTTCCTCCACAAGAATACCCTGCCTTTTTTTTTTTTCATTTTTAAAAGATTTTATTTATTCATGAGAAACACAGAGAGAGAGAGGCAGAGACATAGGTAGAGGGAGAAGCAGGCTAATACAGGACTCAATCCCAGGACCCTGGGACTTGACCTGAGCCAAAGACAGATGCCTAACCACTACATTTTTAATGATTATGAACTTAACAAAAGTTTCCAGATACCAACTCAATACACAAAAATGATTATATTCTGTATAGCAGCACCATTTACTAAATGTTATCGCTGTGTATACATACATATATACCACATAACAAGAATACCCTGCTTTTATTCATTTCATGTATTAGGGTTCTGGGCAAGGTTTTGCTGTTGGAAAAAAAAGTCAGACAATCACTCATGGAAAGTCCATGTTCCACAAGTGGAGAGACTATGATATAAAGAGGGTGAGTGACTTCATGCAGGCAGTACAGCAGGACCAGCCCAGTGCTTCCCTTATCCCATGGGATCTGGGCAGTCATGTGTCTTTCAGACTTGGGAAATGTTCTTCTTCTAAAGCTGAAAGCACAGAAAAATAAGAGCAGTCAAGAAAAATATAAGGGATTCATTGCCCAGAGAGGTTTTATCCCAGTCTTATTCTTGTTATTAGCAGAACATCATAAGGTAAACAGTTAAATTGAAAAATAAATACTTGCTGGTTATACAAAATAATAATCAGCAACAGCAATTTAACTGGAAGTCTACATGTCCCAAATATTTTGGTTTGTTTTTTAAGATGTCTTCCTTTATATTGGCCAACATAGTAGTCCTTCCCTGCAATTTTTTTTTTTTTAATATGGCTGAGCGTAGAATCCTTGAGCTGTAGTGTCTCCCAGGGCTGCTGTTAACAAAGGGCCACAGACCAGGTGGCTTAAATAAGAGGAACTTACTGTCTCGTTTAGCTCATGAGCCCAGAGGTCTGAAATCAAGGTGTTGGCAGGGCCATGCTTCCTGCCAAGCCTCTAGGGGAGGATCCTTCCTTGCCTCTTCTGGCTTCTGGTAGCCTCAGGTGTACCTTGGCTTGTGGCAGCATCACTCTAATTCCCCGTCTTTACAGGCCCACCTTCTCTCTGTGTCTGTGTCTAAATTTTGTTTCTTGTAAGGACACCAGTCATGTTGGTTAACGATCTGCCTTTCTCCAGTATGACCTCATCTTAACTAATTACATCTATAGCAACCCTGTTCCGATGACCTCACATTTCAAGGAGGCTAGGACTTAAGCATATCTTTTTAGGGGACACAATTCAACCCATAACACACACATTATAACTAAAGCTGTCATACCATGTCAGGGAATTACACAATATTTTAAAAATATAAGACAGTATTTTTTTCAAAAGCCAGATGATGCACTGAATAGAATGGGTGGAGTGGGAGGTGTGGATAAGGACACAGAACTGGGGAGGGGAATCAGGGAAGAACAGGGGAAGGATGGGGGCCTGTTGGGGTGGGGCAGGACCTAAGAGGTAAGTAGGCAGGAATATTAGAGATCTTGCTGATCTTGTTGAGAAACTGCTTGGTTTGGGTGGTAGATATTTTTATATGGAGTCTGTGAGGAAAATTGTCCTGTGAAAGATAATTGCTTGTTACTTTTTTTTTTTTTACTACTTAAGTCTTATTTTTTCCTTTCAATAAGCATTATTTGAGATAAGTAATGTTTTATTAAGGGACAAATCAAACTGAAAGTATATCATAATTCTTGACATGATGGAGTTTTTAAAGCAGATAACAGCTTCTGTCTTTTTTTTTTTTTTCTTATCTAGATGAGGATTATGGAAATGAGTCTTTCTCTTTGGGAAACTTTCAGTAACTTAGTGATAACTATGTATGCCTGCCAGTACCATGTATGCTTCAACGCTGCTGAATTCTTTTTGGCATTCAACCTAATAAGGTTATTTGTTATGCTTGTGTTTAAATCACATGAAATATTCAAATCATGTACAAGATTCTTTTTTCCTTGTTTATGAAAGAACTCTGTTCTTTCCTCCTGCTGTGGTTATTTGAATCTTTTATAAATGAATTGGTCAGATGTCCTAAAACCTATTTTTCACAGCATCACACCACAGGCAAGGCATCTTGCTTTTGATTTCAATAACTGTGTTAGGGTTATTTAAACCAAAGACCACAATTTGACAATGCTGTTGGCATTTAATGATCTAGGGCTTTTATTACTTTTCTTTTTTTATTTCAGGAATCTTGGACTCCAGAACTAAAGTTGAAGTTGGAAAAGTTTCTGGCTTTAATTTTTAAAGCTAGTAACACGCCAAAGCTTTTAACATTATACGTATCCTTTTGAAGCAGATGGAGACCACCTGTGGTGCTGGAGTAGCACCCTGGCTTGGGCTGCCTCATGGATAGAGGATGATTGTTAGTGTTGCCTTCATATTGATGAGATAAGTTAAGCATTAATAGGAGGGTGTGTCAAGGTCCAAAAAGAGAATTCCAGGTAGAGGGGACAGGTCATGCAAAAGGACTGAGACAGTATATGTGGGAATTCAATATTGCTGGAACAGAAGAATAGAGAGAGTCAGAGACTAGGCAAGGCCTGGACAAAAAGGTTTGCGTGAGGTCTTGTAAGTCAGGAGCAGCCTGTGACACATTTTAAGCACATTTTAAGCATTTTAATACCGTGCTCTTTACATTAAAAAAAAATCACTCCTTTTTATTTGTGATTTTAAAATTGATCATATTCCTCATAGAAAATTTGGAAAGCACAGAAATGCACTTTCTGTGTATGTATACTTACATACACCCAAAAGTATGTAATGTTTAAACAGATACCTGTACATTGTGTATTTTTAAATATTTTTTATCAAATGGAGGGAGCATTTCCCATACCATTAAATATGCTTCAAAAACAATTTTTTGAACTCAAAAGTTTAAACATAGAGTTACCATATGACCCAGGATTCCACTCCTAGCTATATACCCAAGGGAACTGGAACCATATGTCCACACAACAACTTGTACGTGAACATTCACAACAGCATTATTCAAAACATCCAGAAAGTGAAAACAATCCAAATGTCCACCAAGGGATGAATGGAGAGATAGGATGCAGCATATCCATAAAATAGGATATTACTTGGGCATGTAAAGGAATGAAGTCCTAACACATGCTGCAACGTGGATGAATGTTGAAGATGTCATGCTGAGTGAAAGAAGCCAGACATGACAGGCTGCTTATGATATCATTTTATTTGAATGAAAGGTCTAGAATGGGCAAATCAGTAGACACTAATCAGTGGATTAGTTGTTGCCTAGGCCCAGGGAGGGTAGGGAAAATGAGGATGACTCCTAATGGGTATAGAGTTTCTTTTTTGGGGTGATAAGAATGTTCTAGAATTGATTGTAGTGATGGTTGCACGACTCTGAATATACTGAAAACCACTGAAATATAAGATTGAGATGAGTGAGTTATATGTGAATTATATCTCAGTAAGGCTGTTACCAAAAAAAAAAAAAAAAAAAATTAAGAAAACCCAAATCAACCAAGTTAAGTATTTTGCCTTTAGTCATGTGGCCAGATGTGTAGGAGCTGAGATTTAAACTCAGGCAGTCTGGCTCCAGAGTCTATGGTCTGAGCTACTGTGCTTTGCTGTCACCATTCCAACCTCAATTTCCTTAGGATAGAGCTTTAAAATTGAGGTGACAATTCACTTCAATGAATACCTTCAATGAAAGGTATGAGTTCAGTTTGCATTTTTAGTAGAACATTTGGCAGCAGTGGAGAAGGTCTTTGGAAGGGGGTCAGGAGGCCACATAGAGGCCTGTTGAAATAGTGTAAGAGTTGCACACATGCCGCAATAATTGAGCTAAAGAGGAGAGAATTCACTTGAGAGTGAACCATCCAACTACTGAGAAGTCAGTAATAGTCTCAGCTCTTGATAGCAACATTAAGAAGAGGCTTTTATTGCCCTGAGAAGTCTCTTTTGTACCTTTCTCAGATTGGTCCCGCAATGTGAGGGACCCTGAGGGCTTTATCCTCAATGCCTGTTTTCCTCAACTTCTTTCTCATCCCAGAAGGAGAATGGACAAAGTAACAAAGGTAAATCATCCAGATTAAGATATTTTTTTATTTAAAAAAAAAAGGATTTATTTATTTCAGTGGGACTAGGAGGAGGAGAGAGCAAGCAGGTGGGAAGGACAGAAGGAGAGGGAGAGAGAGAAAATCTCCAAGCAGATTCCGACGAGCTAAGCATGGAGCTTGATGTGAGGCTCAATCTCATAGACCCTGAGATCACAACCTGAGCCGAAACCAAGAGTCAGTCATTTAACCGACTACGCCACCCAGGCACCCCTAGATTAACATTTTTTTTTAAAGATTTTATTTATTTCTTCATGAGAGACAGAGAGAGAGAGGCAGAGACACAGGCAGAGACAGAAGCAGGCTCCATGCTGGGAACCTGAAGTGGGACTTGATCGCTGGTCTCCAGGATCACGCCCTGGGCTGAAGGCGGCACTAAACCGCCAAGCCACCCAGGCTGCCCTAAATTAACATTTTTTATTTATTTATTATTTATTTATTTATTTTTTAAAAGGTCATATTTGTTTATTCATGAGAGACATGAAGAGAGAGGCAGAGACACAGGCAGAGGGAGAAGCAGGCTCCACCCAGGGAGCCCGATGTGGGACTCAATCCCAGGACCCCGGGATCATGCCCTGAGCCAAAGGCAGACGCTCAACCACTGAGCCACTCAGGCATCCCTAGATTAACATTTTTTAAAGAACAATTTTGCCAACTCAAGTTTTGAGTAGTGAGATAGAAACAGAGATGGAGGGGATGCCTGGGTGGCTCAGTGGTTTAGCACCTGCCTTCGGCCCAGGGCGTGATCCTAGAGTCCCGGGATCGAGTCTCACGTTGGGCTCCCTTCATGGAGCCTGCTTCTCCCTCTGCCTGTGTCTCTGCCTCTCTCTCTCTCTCTGTGTCTCTCATGAATAAATAAATAAAATCTTAAAAAAAAAAAGAAAAAGAAGCAGAAACATATGGAGAGAATTGGTGCACTTGGTGAACGAAGGCTCTAAAAGTCTAAATGTTTTTTTCAAAAATTAAAAACCAAAAGAAGTATTTATGAAGCACTTTGCAATCAGATTTGTGACTCCTTGAGGCCCACCCTGCAGAAGGGCTGGTGTTAGCTTCGTCTTGCAGATCAGGTAACCAGCCTGTGGAGCGATGATGGGAATCGAAGCCATGTCCCAAGGGGATGTTACTGCAGCAGCACAGCCAGGGGACACCGTCAGGGTGGGTGGGGCAAGAAGCATTTTAGTATCTTTCACTTTTACCCCGCACTAGTCTAGGGCGGTCTAATTTCCGTAGCAATATGGAGCACCCATCTTAGAAGCATTTCTGGTTTTTTGCATTCAAAGCAGGGATTCCAACATTAAGTTTTTAGAATAAAATTATGGTTTTCCATTATTAACCATTTTCTACCAGAACTGTTCATTTTTCAGTCAGGTGAGAAAAACTTTAGTTACCGTCAAGTCAATTGTGATTCTTTGTCTGAGTTTTGGCTTTGATGCTCTATTATGAAACCTCTGAAGTGTTAGCCTTCTGTAGATCCTGGTGGCGTAATCCTCAGTCCCCAGCAGGTGGAGTTTTATCACATGAAACAGCACATTTGCCCTTCCCACGGCAGAGTAATGTTAGAGAAGATCTCAAAAGTTCCTGCCATTGTTTTTCTTTTTCTTTTTTTTTTTAGGATTTATTTATTTATTCATGAGAGACACAGAGAGAGAGAGAGGCAGAGACACAGGCAGAGGGAGAAGCAGGCTCCATGCAGGGAACCGGACGCGGGACTCGGGGATCACACCCTGGGCCGAAGGCAGGCGCTAAACCGCTGAGCCACCCAGGGATCCCCTGTTTTTTGGGGGTGTTTGTTTTTTTCACGGGACTCCAGGATCATGCCCTGGGCCGAAGGCAGGCGCTAAACCACTGAGCCACCCAGGGATCCCCTGTTTTTTGGGGGTGTTTGTTTTTTTTTTTTTTAAAGAGAGTTAAAGTTTTGTAAAGAATGGAAGCGTTAGTAAATTCTTTAGCTCTTTGCTTTCCAGGATGTTGCCAGAGGAGCGATGCTTTAGATTTGACATGCAAGGACAGAGGCAACAGCTTCAGATGCAGAAAGTCTGAATGTTTCTGCCTTGTATAACCTTGCATTTTCCCAGCCCGGCAGTTCTAAGTGTGTGAATGGCTCTGCTGGCTGTCCCACCCCCGTAGCTCAGAGGGACCGGCCCCACTGAGCCTTCATGGGGAAGCATCAGTCCTTGCCTGAACGTGGAGGAGCTGGGCCATAGATGTGGTTTCATGGGGTCCACGTGGAATGCTCCAAGGGTCACCAGGCTATAGCCTTGGAGCTTGCTGAGGCTGCTCTGCCCCCACTATAGTTATGTCTGAGGATAAGTCTGAGCAGATTTCTTCTGCTCCTCAAGTATAATTCTTGGGCCTTGGCTGGGGTAGGTCCTGTGCCAGTGTTCTCATATTCAGGACAGTGGCAATTCTTTTTTTTTTTTTTAAAGCAATTTATTTATCCATTTTGAGAGAGAAAGAGCACAGCAGGGGGAAGGATAGAGGCAGAGGGAGAGAATCCTCAAGCAGGCCCTGCACTAAGCACCCAGCCCAACATGGGGCTTAATCCCAGCCCCCTGAGATCATGACCTGAGCTGAAACCAAGAGTCATCGCTTGCCCGACTGAGCCACCCAGGCACTCCAGAATTCCCCAATGGGAATTCATAAATTGTGCTAGGCATTTGGGTCCTGCACTGCAACTCCTGGAAATGCACCTTTGTGCCACTATTTCTATTTCTTTTACAACGTAGTCTAGTGTCTCAGCTCAGTGGCATAAAGCAACAATGTCCACTTATTATTCTTGCCATCATCTTGCATGGTGTGGGGATCAGGTGCTCAGGCAGTTCTCCCTCCGTGTCTCGTGGAGGCACATGGAGCCTGGTGGAGCCATCTTCAAGGCTTCCTTGCCCACCTGCACAGGTTTGGTGGCCAGTGCTGAGGCCCTTGACAGGAACACTTATGTAGCCTGGGCTTCCTCATGGCTGGGTTCCAAGGGTGAATGTCCGCACATAGAGCCAGTGGAAGCTGTGTCACCTTTCCTAAGCCAGCCTCTTAAGTAACTCAGTGTCATTTTTGCTACATTGTCTTCATTAGAAGTGATTCCTAAGGCCAACTTACATTCAACGGAAGGAGAGTGACCTTCTACCTCTTGATAGGAAGGAGTGTCAATGACGTGGCAGTCATTTTAAAACCACTGCCCCACCCGCATCCTTTGAGTCTCAGAAAATCACCTTAGTTTTTGACTGAATCTGTGTAGTCCCTGTTCAGATTTGCTCTTTGAACTTGGTGCTAGCAGAGAGAAAGTGGTGGAAACCTCTCTGATTCTTGAGTCTCAGCCAGCCCTTGTCACCCCAACATACCCTGTGGCTTTTAAGGATAACTTTCTGCTAGGATCCAGTCATGTCTCTGAGAAGTGGCCCAACTTTACAGATAAAATAAATCTAGGAGGGGTAGTACAAAGGGAAGAGCCTGTGTTTTTTTATGTATCTTTCCTTTGGACTTCACCAAGGAGACCAAGGAGACCACCGTGTTTGAGCCTTCTTTAGGTTTGATTTTAATTGAGTTTTCTGAGGAAGCCAAGCAGAATGTCTGTGGAACTGAGGCTGGCAGGCACAGCATGTGTCTGTGGCTGAATAAACAACCCTCCCCCCGCCCCCAGCAATGCAGAATTGCCATGGAGACCAGAGATTAGCACCGCGGGGCACACTGGTACCAAGGGCTTGGGCCCAGGCCCCCTGTCCTGACAGCCCGATGTCACCACTTTGTCCCCTCCTCCCACACTTATGGCTGCAGTGATTACAAAGCACAGACACACCCCCAATTTAATTTGATTCTAGACTTAGGTGTTGTTTTGTACATTGAATGTTTGGGCAAATCGTTATTCTGTGTATCTTGATAGGAAGATTTCATGGATAAGCTAAGATTTCTGTGAGCTTTTGAAGAAGGCAAGAAAAGTGACTGGAGTAAAAAATTCTCTCAAAAGGAATTATATTTTAAAATGGAGTTTAGAAGAAAATTTCAGGTTGAAAATACAGTATGTTATTATTTTACCTAGTCATCTAAAAATGGTGTAGAGATAGTATCTTTTAGCATCTCTGTCATTAATTTGATTTGACTCCTTCAGAAAAAGCAACTGACCGTTTTTCTAGAATTTAAAGCCCTAAATGGTATTTTTTATTTTATTTTATTTTATTTTAAAAGATTTTATTTATTTATTTATTTTTTAATTTTTATTTATTTATTTATTTATGATAGTCACAGAGGGAGAGAGAGAGGCGCAGAGACATAGGCAGAGGGAGAAGCAGGCTCCATGCACCAGGAGCCCGATGTGGGATTCGATCCCGGGTCTCCAGGATCGCGCCCTGGGCCAAAGGCAGGTGCCAAACCGCTGCGCCACCCAGGGATCCCGATTTTATTTATTTATTCATAGACACAGAGAGAGAGAGAGTCAGAGACACAGGCAGAGGGAGAAGCAGGCTCCATGCAGGGAGCCTGATGTGGGACTCGATCCCAGGTCTCCAGGATCACACCCCAGGCTGCAGGCGGCGCCAAACCGCTGCGCCACCGGGGCTGCCCAGCTAAATGGTATTTTTTTAAATGATGACTTATATTCGTAGTTATGCATCGTAACTTTCTTCATCCAGTGCTTGTGGATTAGCAAAATAGCAAAGAGCTGATTTATATCTGAATACAAAGAAGAAAGTATATTATATTGTAAAGTTAAAGAGCTTGATTTTAGATTTTTAGATGTTGGAAAAAGAGTTTTGTATTTTAAAATCTATCATTTTTTTTAATTTTTTTATTTATTTATGATAGTCACAGAGAGAGAGAGAGAGAGAGAGAAAGAGGCAGAGACACAGGCAGAGGGAGAACAGAGGGAGAAGCAGGCTCCATGCACCGGGAGCCCGACGTGGGATTCGATCCGGGGTCTCCAGAATCACGCCCTGGGCCAAAAGCAGGCGCCAAACCGCTGCGCCACCCAGGGATCCCTAAAATCTATCATTTTGTCTTGAGCAACAAAGGGGTCTCTAAAATTAAATCTCATCTACTTAAAAAAAAAAAGCAACATACTTAAGGTAGAAATGTTAAGAGAAAGCTTGCGGGCTTGGCCACAGGGAGATCTCTATCACTTTTGTTACTGTTTCAGTGTATGCTGGAGTGATGGGCAAACTTTCTGTGACCTTCACTGACATTCTTTTAGTTGTATATATCTCTTTGTCTAAAACTTGGGATGTTGGGATGCCTGGGTGGCTCTGCGGTTGAGTGTCTGCCTTTGACTCAGGGCATGATCCTGTAGTCCTGGGATCGAGTCCCACATTGGGCTCACTGCACGGAGCCTGCTTCTCCCTCTGTCTATGTCTCTGCTTCTGTGTCTCTCAGGAATAAATAAATAAAATCTTTAAAAACAAACAAACAAACTTGAGATGTAGTTCTTTGGATTTTGGTATAAATTATATCAGTTTTGACATATGAAGAGTCTCAATAAATCATGTCATGTCCCCAGCATGACTAAGACAGTTTCATTAATATAACATGGAATTTCTAATGAGACCTCTCCACTAAAAGTTGAGCTCTTAGGGGGCCTGGGTGGTTCAGTCAATTAAGATTAAGCGTCTGCCTTCCGCTCACGTCATGATCCCAGGGTCCTGGGATGGGGCTCTCTGCTCAGCAGGGAGTCTACTTCTCCCTCTGCTTCTGCCCCTCCCCATGCTCTCAAATAAATAAATAAAATCTTTTAAAAATATAAGGAAAGAAAGGTTGAGCTCTTGCACAGCAAGGGATTTTGGCTCAGTTGTCCTTGTCTCATAAAATGTTTGAGAAGGAAAGAAGAGTCAAAATCCTTTTTAACGCTCAGAAATAAAGTTGAGATCTTGGAGCTGAGACCCCAAAAGCTTCCAGTAATGGTCAAGTCCTGTTTGTAGCCAGCTAAGGTGTTTATAAGGTGATATGTCTTTATGCAGCAGGCTGTTCTGCTAAATGGTGTATTTGAACTGGTGGCAAGTATTCCACCCCAACTGCCCACTTCTCTCCTTCCTGTGGCTGCTGGCAATGAGGCCTCTTTTCCCTCAGGTGTACCATACTTTGAAATTGTCATAAATTCCAATTCTGGGTTCCTGAGGCCGAGGTGCCGCCAGTAGTCCCTTACATTTAGTTAATTGTACAGTGAGTTTCTGAGGGGATATGTTCCTTGGTGCAGTCTCCTTTCAAGAGGGACTACTTTGGTGACTTTTATATTGATGATTTCTGAGGTCATTTGCCCCAGTTAATGGGTTTCGGTACTTCATTCATCATCTGGCACTCGATACACATTGAGAAAGTTCATACAGATGCTCTTTAATATTCATTACCACAAAATGAAATTATGAACCATCCTGTAGAATTTTCATCATTGGAAGTTCTAGTTATATAATTTAGAGTTTTGTACATATAAAAAGCTTTAATATTTAGCATGGGGAGCACCCTATGGGGCTCAGTGGTTGAGCTTCTGCCTTTGACTCAGGTCATGATCCCAGGGTTCTGGGATGGAGTCCTGCATTGACCTCCCTGCTTCTGCCTATGCCTATGCCTCTGCCTGTTTCTCTGTGGCTCTCATGGATAATAAATAAATAAAATCTTAAAAAAATAATATTTAACATAGGAATATGGTAGTGACTCCTTCTCTCTAATAATATTTAAGAAAAAATTCAATAAACGATTTCCAGAGATGTTCTCCAAAGCTTTAAGTACTGGATATAAGTTCATGCCAGAAGAGTTTTTATTTTATTTTTTTATTTTTATTTTTTTTAAAAGATTATTTATTTATTCATGAGAGACACACACAGAGAGAGACAGAGACACAGGCAGAGGGAGAAGCAGGCTCCATGCAGGGAGCCCGATGTGGGACTCAATCCTGGGACTCCAGGATCACGCTCTGGGCCGAAGGCGGTGCCAAACCACTGAGCCACCCAAGCTGCCCCCATGCCAGAAGAGTTTTTAAAGTTAACTTTCAATACTGAAATTTGAAGGATGCTAACCAATAATATTAGTTCATTATTATGTGATATTTGGGGTCTTAATAATTAAAATATTTTACTTTTCTACACATAATCATGAAACAGAGGTTTTGAAATCTAATTTGTGCATGATCTTCATGAGGAACTGTCCTGCAGGTACTTACAGTTCCCCAGATAACTTCACAGGGCAAACAAACAAACAAACAAACAAACAAAAAAAACAGGAAAAGATGCAGGTGTGGTTCATCCAGTCTGTGGGCTGACTGTAGAAACACTGAGTTTGTTTGTTGTACATAGAACAAACTGAAAGAAATTGTGTGGAACTCAGTCAAGAAAATAGATTGAGGAAAACCAATGATGGTTCAGTTGAACTACCAGAGACAAGAAATTGAAAATCAGTGGTCATTAAGCACTTGGTAATTAAATGTGTCAAGTTCAAAAAGGGTGTTGCCTGTGTTCTCCTCTAGGATTTTGATTGATTCTTATCTCACATTTAGATCTTTCATCCATTTTGAATTTATCTTTGTGTATGGTGCAAGAGAGTGGTCTAGTTTCATTCTTCTGCATGTGGCTGTCCAATTTTCCCAGCACCATTTATTACACAAGACTCCTAATTCTGGGAAACGAACAAGGGGTAGTGAAAGGGGAGGTGGGGGGGATGGGGTGACTGGGTGACAGGCACTGAGGGAGGCACTTGATAGGATGAGCACTGGGTGTTATGCTATATGTTGCAAATCAAACTTCTATATATATATATATTTAAAAAATTAAATGTGTCAAGAAATAGCAGCCAAGTGTTAAACACAAATAATGTCAAGTTCATCGTCATAGCAAAATCTTCTGAAAGGAGACAATGATCCTTGCTTGGGAAGAACATCATTATTTTTTTATGGGGTTTTCTTACTGTTGTTTTGTTTTAATATAAATTGTCTTCCTAGAAACGTCACAGCAGCTCCACCAGCAGCTGGTAGAAGCCGAGCGAAGGTCAATGACATACCTGAAGCGGTACAATAAGATCCAGGCGGACTACCACAATCTCATTGGGGTCACAGCAGAGCTGGTGGATTCTCTGGAGGCCACAGTCAGTGGCAAGATGGTAAGGAAGATTCCCCAGTTGCCCGTGTGTCTGGAGCTAAAGTAGTGTTAAGAGCATGGGGTGTGTTTATAATGGGATTCCTGGCTGCTCCCAGCCAGTGACACCTGCCCCTGTACTTCACAAAGCCAAGTGCAGAAAGAAGACCACACTGACATTCCACCCCAGTTATGGTGCTGCTTACAGTATTTTATCCATTTTTCCTGACATACTGTTGACCACATCTTTATTTCTCTACCTTATTCTTAACATTAGCGAAGAATAAATTTTCTGGCAACAGGAAAAAATAATATGGAGTGGCATAAAAATGAGGGGGAAATAAGCTACTGGTATAAAGGAAGTTATAGATTTTCACATATTGATACAACTATTCTTCTGAACTCTTAATCTGATAGATTCTTTTGATTGATTCTCCTGTATTCTAGATTGGCAGTCATAATATCCTCAAATAATGATATTTTTGTTTTGTTTCATTATTTATAATGATTTTTCTTTTTTTCTTAGCATACTGGCTAAGACTGTGGAACATTGTTGAAAAATATGGTCATGGGCCTCCTTGACTTATTCCTGACTTTAATGAGAATGACTCTAGTGTTTCACTTACTAAAAAATTAGAAATTATAATAAAATTTCTCTGTGGAAATATACATTTTCTTTAAAAATGGAATAATTATAGGTTGACATGCAATTCTAAGAAATAATGCAGTCTTTGCACACCTTGCACAGTTTCCCCGAATAGTAACATTTTGCATAACTATATAGTACAATATCACACAACCAGAACATTGACATTGACCCAGTCTATTGATCTTATTCTGATTTCTCCAGTTCTTTACTCATGTATTATATTATCACAAATGAGAGGTAGTGTATTTAAAATTGTTTTTAGTGGGGTTCCTAGCTGGCTCATGGGGTAGAGTATGTGACTCTTGATCTCAGGGTCGTGGGTTTGAGCCTCATGTTTGGCATAGAGATCACTTAAATAAAATAATTTTTTAACTGACTTAAAATATGATTATGAAATAATATGTATTATAGAAAATTTTAGAAATAGAGAACTATGCAAAAATAAAATTACCTGTAATTGTGTTACCTAGTAGTAACACTTGTTAACATTCTGTGTTTTTTTCAGTGCTTGAATATACCTGTTTTACAAAAATTGACTCTATTTCACCCAAAATTTTCTAATTTTTTCCCTTGATACTGAATCGTGTTTTTTTTTTTTTTAAGATTTTGTTTATTTATTCATGAGAGACAGAGAGAGAGACACACACACATACACACAGGCAGAGGGAGAAGCAGCTCCTCTCAGGGAGCCTGATACAGGACTCGATCCCAGGACTCCAGAATCACAACCTGAGCCGAAGACACTCAGCCACTGAGCCACCTAGGTGCCCCTAACTGGCTTATTTTTAATGTAAAAAATTACATATTTGTGGTAACAAATTAGAACAAGTCTGAGTAATGTATAGTGAAGAGCAAAAGCCCCTTCCCGTACAGTTTGTTAGTGTCCCTTCTTTAATAGCATTCAAGATTAACTTTTCTTGCATATTATTTCCAAACATTTCTATGCATATGCATGTGTCTGCATGCAGCCTACATATACTTGGGATCCTATGACCCACTATTCTTCTGAAACTTGCTATTTTACTCTCAGTATATCTTGGAAATCTTTCCACATGACTATACTACCCTCGTTCTTTTCTAGGCTTATACATTATGCCATTCTAAGGGTGAACCATAATTTTTTAGATCTCTGATGGTGAACATTTAGATTTTTTGTTTGCTAGAACAAAAAAAATGTTGCAATGAACATTCTTGTATATAGTGTATACTTTTGAAAACAAGTAAGGTAAGATCCTAAGAGTGGACTTGCTAGGTCAGAGGTTATAGGCATTAACATTTTGATAGATGTTGACAAATAATTTCTCCCAAGATTTCAAAATTGTTTTTCCAAACCCCCCCAGGAGTTTACCCATATCAAGGTGTTTATTTCTCCACACACTTGCCAACATCAGACACTATTATATTTTGAACTAATTATACTTTGAACCCTTTCCTGGCTTGGTAAGTAAAACTTGGTGTTCTAAATGTTTCAATTTGCATTTCTTTAATTATGTATGAGGCTGAATATGTTTTCATGTTTGTTGGCCATTTATATTTTGCTTTTTAGTCTAATGATTATGTGTGTCCTTTCCTCATTCACCTGTTTTTTTTTGTTTTGTTTTTTTGTTTTTTTTTTTCTCATTCACCTGTTTTAAGCAAGAAAGTGACACAATCAAATATGCTTGTTAAAGATATGGTTCTGGTAGCAGTTCCAGAAGTCAAAGGAGGAAACAGTTTGAGGAGTAAGAGGTTGATGTAGAGTCTCAGAAGCCACAGAAAACTTTAAAATGCTAGAACTGAACAGTGTCCAATGATTTTTGACATTGAGGTCAGTGGTGGTGGCCTTTGCCATGGGAACTATGGAGTGATGCAGCTGGAAGCTTAACTGTAGCAGGTAGAGAGATCCAGGAGAGGTGAGACAGCAAACGGAGGCAGTTCTCTCAAGGACTTTGGCTGTGACAGAAGAATCCTGAGTGGGTGGTCGAAAGGTGAGGACCTAGGATAGAGGAAGGGGAAGGTGCTTTTTTAATACGAACTATAATTGTGTTTTTATGTTATAGACAATGAAAAGATGTAAAGAAAGGTTAAAAATACAGGATGAGAAAGGAATGTTTACATTTTGATACTATCACAATTCAGAGGAAGCGGATGCAGAATCATGTGGGAAGTGCAGCCCTGAGATGGGGCACTTCTTTGTCTGAGTCACTTCACATAGAGCTGAGTGTCAAGGGATGAGCACAGACATCTGCCATCGATGCACAGCCTTTCACATGTCTAAAGCAGACCAGAAATTTCCAGTGGGTTGATGGAGTCCTCCAAGGAGAGGAGATGGTACATCTCTTTCTAACTTATGAATCAGTTGAGTAGTCTTCGCATGGGGACAACTGAGTAAGGATATGGAGAGGGGCTGGTTATATGACCATGTGGGAGTTCACCACATGGAATCATGAGGCTGGGGAAAGGGAGGTTCTCCTCCAGCAATCAGGCATAGAAAAAAAAAAAAAGGTTGGGTGGGTGAAGAATGGTTAATAGTTACCTCCAGAGATTGATGTATGGGAAAGTATGGGACTGGAGAGAGGTTGGGGCACTTGTAAAATTTAAATGTTCATTCTTTGTATAAAAAGAAAAGATGTAAAATGAAAAGACAACATTCAGAGGTTACCACCTGAGATGCTATATACCAGTCCTGAGTTACAGTTGCTTAACAAGAGGGTGAGAAGGCACTAAAAAAAGGCAAGAATTGAACAGCTTTGGTGGGCACAGCAATGCAGCCTCACACTGGCAGGCATGCAATACAAAATGCCTCCATCATTCATTCCGTAATGAGCTGGCCTGTGCCAGGCATATGTGTGATCTCATTCACTCTGTCACTGTGAACCACAGAGGCAGACATTGTTCATTTCATTCAGCAGGTCAGAAGGCAAGGGGCAAAGCTGTTGGTTTTCTTGAGTCCAGGGCTTGAGGTTAGATTTTCAGATTTTAAGCCCCCTATTCTTTCCACCACACATTGGCTACCCAATTGACTTTATTGCTTGAATTCACACACGCACACACACACACAACACAAATGGTTTAAAATCAGTTTATTTTATATGACTGGGAGTATATCTAGTGGAATTACATAATTTAAAACATGATTCCCCACTATCATACCTGCAGTATGTTAGCAGTTTTTTTTTCTGTCAGAGTCAGTGATTTAGCTCCCAAAGGTCCTATGTTAAAGCAAAATTCCATCTGCATACCTCCCAGAAAAACTGGTGAGAGCTCTGATAATTTCTGGGGCCCTAATGTCACAGGGGGCATTTTGTGCCTTGCACCAGCCATCCTCGTGTCCTCTTTGCAGATCACCCCGGAGTACCTCCAGAGCGTGTGTGTCCGCCTCTTCAGTGACCAGATGCGACAGAGCCTGGCGCACAGTGTGGACTTCACGAGACCTGGGACGGTGAGGCTCTGTGCCCTAGGGCTGGGGCTGCCCCCCAAATTTAAAAGTAGCCTAACTAAAAAAAATAAAAGAGCATGGGCAAATAACATTCAGGAGTCTGCATTTCAGCTGGCTTCAGAAGTCTGTAAAGTCCCAGAAGGAAAAGAAAGCTGTTTTTGAACAGTGAGCAGCTGGGAGCTGGCGTCCTGGGGGTGGGGGGAGAGAGGCGCCAGTTGGAGCTGTTTGGTGCCAAGAGCTGGTAACAATTAGCAAATCAGTAGGAAAGGAAGGAAACTTCATTCTCTTCTTTAAAATAACTGCCATATTGGAAGCTGTACAGTCAAAGGCAGGTGCTCTCTTTTTTCTTTTTTTAACTTTTTACTCAGAATAATTGCAAACTTACAAAGAAATCGTAAAAATAGCACAAAGGACACTTGTATACCCTTTATCCAGATTCAGTGACTATTGGCATTTTACTCATGTGTTTACTTTCTCTACACACACACAGACACACACCCACACACATACACGTCTGTTTTCTGAGCCATTTGAGAAGAAATTACATATGTTATGGCCTTTTATTCCCGTGTAGAGTTCATTTCTTAATAGGAGTATTCTCTTATGTAACCATACAGTGATCAACTTCAGTAAGTTTAATATCTTTATGATATTCTTATCTAATCTGGGCATTTTCCAATTTGTCAGTTGAGCCATGTCCTTTATAGTTGTTCCCTCATTTAAAAAAAACAGCATTTCTCTGTTTGTCTTTCTTACGTTCTCATGATTAGATTCAGGGTTTGCATCTCAGGGCAAAATATTATGTAGGTGATACTGCGTCCTTCTAAGGATAGCTCATCCAAAGGGATGTGGGAGTTGGGGTTCTTTTTTTTTTAAGATTTTATTTATTTAAAAAATAAATAACTAAATAAATAAAAAAGATTTTATTTATTTGTTCATGAAAGACACACAGAGAGAGGCAGAGACATAGGCAGAGGGAGAAGCAGACTCCGTGTGGGGGAGCCCGATGCAGGACTTGATCCCAGGACCCCGGGATCATGCCCTGAGCTGAAAGCAGACACTCAGTCATTGAGCCACCCAGGTGCCCCTGAGTTGGGGTTCTTAACCAGGGGAGCAAATACACCAGTGTCTCCTAAGGACATTTTCAAAGTTCTTGAACCCATGTCCCTGGAGCTCACCCCAATGTACCACCTGGGCGACAGGCTAAATGGTAGAGCCAAGCATGTTCAGCTCAGAAGGAAGCACCAGGGGATCCTGAGGTACCCCCATAGGTCAGAGCCATGGCTTTTTTAAGGGGGAGGGTCTGCACATTAATATTAGGATCTTCATCAACAGAGGCCTTTTTTAATATTCAAAAATTTATACCCTACTTCATTCTCAAGTAGGTTTGAAGCAGCTTATGAGAAAACACAAAATATGAGATAAAAATAGAAAATGGAAAGAACAAAATTGTGGTTAGAACTCATAGAAACAGAAAGTAGAGTGTTGGTTCCCTGGGGCTGGGAGGTGGGGGAAGTGAAGATGTTGGTGAAAGGGTGTAATTTCTGGTTATAAGATAAATAAGTTCTGGGGATCTAAGGCATAGTGTGGTGGCTAATGTTAACAATATTATATACTTGAAGGTTACTCAGATCTTAAATGCTCTCACCTACCCCCCAAAGGAACTGTTAGGTGATGGACGTGTTAACTAACCTTATTAGGCGATGATCATTTCACAATATATACGTGTGTTAATGCAGCACTTCATACACCTTAAATGTACACAGTGTCCTGTGTCAAGTACATCTCAGTAATGCTGGGGAGAGGGGAAGAAATTGTAGTTAAAGGAAAATGAAGGTAGGACAATACTAGGAAGCCATGGCTAAGCTAGTACCAAACATGCATGTCAGAGCTGCTGTACATACACCTACAGAAGGAGGCAGGGACCCGGTTCTGATCTTCATTACAGCCTATGCTACAGGGACAAGTGAGCAGGTGCATGAATTGCTTCCAGGGAAAGAGAGATGGTTACATAATGTTTATTATCTAAGTTTTGCTGCATCTGTCTGAAACATCATGCTACACACACAGCCTAGGAAGCACAGCAGTGAGATAAATGCCCCGGTGCCCACCACACATTCCCCAGACAGACCATTCCTGGGCCACGGACACTCTCTTTGGGCCCTTTAGACTTCCAGTTTCTTTTGTGGATCCAAAGAAAGGACATAGCAATGTGACGGAAAGCAAATGTCCTTGACCCCATCACCCAGCTGCTCGCAGAAGCATTATAGAGCTGTTGGTGGTGGTGGCCTTGCCGCACATGGACATGTGGATAATAGAAGCTGTAGGGTCTGTGCTTTAGAATGTGGCCACCGTAGTTTTAGCGTGCAGAAATCTTAGGGAATCAGCCATTTTGAAATGTCAGGAAAGCACACAGAGACATCTGAGTTTCAGAAAATTAACTTCCTCATGGGCCCTCCAGGATGAGGGGCTTCAAGCCACATCCCTGAGGACTGGCTGAGTTGATCCTCTGTGTACACTGTACCCTTAGCTAGAAGTCTGTTAAGGAGTGTTTACCAAAAATGATGGCTTTCTAGCAGTAATTAGCGTTGCTGGATCTATGTCTAATAGGACACTCCCTTCCTCCCTTCCACTTATTTATTAGTTCAGCAAATACTTAGTGTTTTTTAAGGTCTGTATTATAAAACCCCATCCTATATTGCATATATAAGCATCCTTACATTTCCACTTTCTATTGGCAGAGTGATGCATCCAGCTTATTTACAATGGATATCATGTTAATAAGGAGCAGTTTAAAAGGGAGGGGGGCACAACATATCTGGTATTTTGTCCCATTAGACATTAATGTTTTTTGTTAAGAGGCTAGTGCTACCATCTTTCCCTATTATGGTGGCATTAAGGTACATATTCTAGGCCTTAGAAACCAGAGGAGAGAGGATGAGCTCTGTTTATCTTAGTTCCTAACCATTTTTTTTTCTTGTGAGTCACTGACTTAGGAACATGCAATAAAAGCTGCATTAGTCCCATAGATTTCTCTGTAAGATGATAAAAAGTGGATATGAGTCACTGTAACACCCTTGTAAAACTATAACAGAACGTAGTTGATTGGGCATGCCTACGGTCAGTGTATGACATCGGATTTATGATGTGTGAAGAGGAAATCAGGGTATAATTTAGTTGGGATATCTAGTGGTTGAACAGTAGGATTTAGGATTTAGAAGGAGAGGAGGGCTGCTTTCCTATTTGCCAGGAGTTTAAAGTTAATGCTAGGTCCAAAGAGAATGCCATCAGTTTCAAGATAAAAAAATGGGCATAGACCAGTTTCCTTTTCAGTGTGATCCTTTGATCAGCAACTTTCTATTTGGTTGACCTTGAGTGTTTCCATTCATTGTACCCTATAAAGGAGCTGGGCCGGGCCCATCAAAATGCTGCTGGTATCCATAAAGTTTGTATGTTTGATACTGGTTTTTAAAACTGGCTGATAAGAAGAATCTGGCCTTCTGCACCCTCACTGTTGAAAGTTCAGAAGAACTCAGTAAGTAACACACTTCTGAGTTCTGAGTCAATTGAAAAATAGGACAAAAGAATAAAGGAAAAAGGAGCTGCCAATATTGCCATCAACTCTGTTGAAACTTATATTGAGGTATGGATTTCATTTGTAGACGAGTGGGTTTCCTACATTTAAATCCTGGGATTAAAGAAATGTGGCCACTGGTGGTCAGCTCTGGCCAAACCCCTCCCCTGACCAGCACCACTAGTAGCCAGGGATGAAGGGCTGCATGCAGGACTGATTCTGCTCCCTGAGAGCACTCGTTCCCTCCCAGGAAACAGGGAGCAGGGCTATGTGTGTCCAGATCTCTCCCAAACCTACAAATTCAGGAATTTACTATCTGGAGCAGGGGAATTATGCTGGTACAGGGCCCTGCAGAAGAGATGCCATGAGTGGGGCCTAGTTCATTCCCAGGTAACTGTGTCCAAAACTCCATTCCCCTTAGCAGAGCTGATGGTCAAATTTGGATGTTCCCAGAAGGATTAATGGTGATGGGATTGATTTGTTTGAAAAGAGAACTCTTTCAGGTAGCCTCTTACAGTTTGATTGCCTGTTGCCACCCTAACCCCTGGTTTGTCATTCTTTAGTGCTTACCAACTCAAGTTCCAAACCATGGGATTTAGTATCTACTGGGATACAAGATAAATCTGATTTTATATTATTGGCAATCTGATAATTGTAAGAAGAGAGGCTTCTCCCTCAGGGCAGAAGAGGTGGGGATTTTTTTTTGTTTTCTCAGATTGTACAAGTAATACACAAATATTTTCTCACTGGAAAATATGTAAGAGACTAATGGTAAAACAAATCCCTTCTCTCCCTCACATTTACCCCATCTCCTCTCCCTCCAAAGGTAACCCTGTTGACTATTTCACATTCATCCCTCCAGACTTTAAAGATCAGGTAGAATTAAGGTTTTTATTATACACTTCACCCTGCAACTGTCTCTTTGAACTTAGTACATTTTAAAGAGTTTTCTGTGTCCTTCTGGATTTATTCATATTTTCCTTATCTTTTAGAATTTTTTAAAAGATTTTATTTATTTATTCATGAGAGACACAGAGAGGCAGAGACACAGGCAGAGGGAGAAGCAGGCTCTGTGTAGGGAGTCCGACGTGGGACTCCATCCCGGGTCCCCAGGATCACACTCTGGGCCGAAGGCGGTGCTAAACCACTGAGCCATCGGGCTGCCCTATCTTTTAGAATTTTAAGTTAAGAGCAGTATGGTACATTTAACCATTCCTCTAGCAAACCTTTAGGTTGCTTTTCAGTATTTTGCTGTTTCTAATAATCATGCAGCACACATATTTGTATGCTGCAGATAGCATGTGAAAGCACCATGGTCTGTCTGTCTTCTTAGCTCTCTGTTTGTACTGGGCAAGCACAAATGCAGAAAAACCCCAGGAAAGGAGAGCCTGATGGAGGAGAGTGACCATTTTTACCCATGGAGAGCGTC